ACACTGTCTTGGCAACAGCACTGCACACATGACCTTCTCAAAGAAACACACAGGTATTTCAACACACACACACACTGACATAAATCACCTTGAGTCCCAAACACCCTGAAGGATCTCCCAGTCTGCACAAGTGTTTGTGCATTTCTCACCAAAGTGTTTGTGTTGTCGCGTTTCTGGTTTGGTTAGTCGATTAGTGTGTGTTTGCATGTCACATCACGCATGTATGAAAGTGTGTGTGTGTTTGCATAGAGTTGTGTTTGCTGAACTGCTTAGGCAAACAGTGGAGATTTAGTGCGATTGCAATGCAGAAACTTGTGTAACTGTTGTAACAGTGTGGTGACCTTTAAGCAAGTGAATGTGCGGGTGTTGCATTTGTGGGTGACACTTTACAATAAGGTTCATTAGTTAAAATTAGTTAATGTATAAACTAACAATGAGCAATACATGTTACAGTATGTATTCATCTTTCTTAGTTAAAGCTGCAGTCCGTAGCTTTTCCTCTTTGTCGCCACCTCTGTTCAAAATCTGCAATTGGAGTTATTCGCGGAATTATCATCTTTACGCGGGTTGTAAATTTCTTGAAACAGCGCGGAAGAACACAGTGTTTTGAGGCGAGTGCTGCTGTCAATCACCGCGCTGTGTGGATACTGTCGTACAGATTTACTTTCGTTAGATTTAATCAACGCGATTTACAGCAACAGTGCAAATTATAGCCTACTTTGTTCTCAAATTGTTCATGTTAAAGGGTTGGTTCACCCAAAAATGAAAATTAAGTCATTAATTACTCACCCCCATGCTGTTCCAACCCCGTAAGACCTTCGTTCGTCTTCGGAACACAAATGAAGATATTTTTTTATTAAATTTGAGAGCTGTATAACTACCACAGGCTCCTAAGGGACTGGCTCTTGATGGCCCAGAAAGTCAATGAAGAAAATGTTTAAATATTCCATGTGACTACAGTGGCTCAACTATAAGTTTATCAAGCGACGAGAATACTTTTTGTGCGAAAATAACGACTTTATTCGACTATTCCTTTTCTTCCTTGTTGGTCTGAAACGAGACTTCCATAGATTTCCACGACACATGCGCGAGAATCTCCTTCAACTACTTCAGTTCAGTTCTCACGCATGCGTCGAGGAAATCGTATTGAAGTCTCGTTTACGGGTTACGGGTGTGACATAATGACGCAAAGACATGCTCGAATTTCCCGCGGTAAACACACCAGTACCACTGGAATTAAAATCATTATTACAAGCTATCCGTTTTGAATCTAGCTATGGCAAGCAGATAGTTTTGACCACTGGCAGAATATGTTTTTTTTTTTTATAATTATTTTGGATTATTTTTAACTTAAAAAAGTTACGGACAGCAGCTTTAATAAAAATACAGCGGTTCATCGTTTGTTCACAGTGCATTAACTAATGTTAACAAATACAACCTTTGATTTTGATATATAGTATTAGTAAATGTTGATCAAAAGTTACTAAGATTTATAAATGCTGAATAAGTATTGTTCATTCTTAGTTCATGTAAGCTTCGGTAGTTAACTAATGAACTCTAAAAGCAGTCCGTGATTCGCACGTTAAAAGATAAATACGACCACGCGTTATGTCAATCACGATTGCACACTGCCTCCGAAACTTTTGTCCATCATAAAAAAATCGGATCGGGTTCGGTTTTCTGCATTTTTCGCATACCTACAAAGCAGTGTGAAAGTGTTTTTTGTAAAGTGTTTACCATATGTGTGTGTGTTGATCACTGGAGGGCGCTAAACTGATTACAACTAAATGATGACGGTTTACTAATGTCTTCAGACAGACAGTCTCTCTCTCTCTCTCTCTCTCTCTGGTGAGAAAGGCTCCTAACCCCCAAGCCTAACTTCGGTAGATAACTAATGAACTCTAAAAGCAGTCCGTGATTCGCACGTTAAAAGATAAATACGACCACGCGTTTTGTCAATCACGATTGCACACTGCCTCCGAAACTTTTGTCCATCATAAAAAAATCGGATCGGGTTCGGTTTTCTGCATTTTTCGCATACCTACAAAGCAGTGTGAAAGTGTTTTTTGTAAAGTGTTTACCATATGTGTGTGTGTTGATCACTGGAGGGCGCTAAACTGATTACAACTAAATGATGACGGTTTACTAATGTCTTCAGACAGACAGTCTCTCTCTCTCTCTCTCTCTCTCTCTGGTGAGAAAGGCTCCTAACCCCCAAGCCTAACTTCGGTAGATAACTAATGAACTCTAAAAGCAGTCCGTGATTCGCACGTTAAAAGATAAATACGACCACGCGTTTTGTCAATCACGATTGCACACTGCCTCCGAAACTTTTGTCCATCATAAAAAAATCGGATCGGGTTCGGTTTTCTGCATTTTTCGCATACCTACAAAGCAGTGTGAAAGTGTTTTTTGTAAAGTGTTTACCATATGTGTGTGTGTTGATCACTGGAGGGCGCTAAACTGATTACAACTAAATGATGACGGTTTACTAATGTCTTCAGACAGACAGTCTCTCTCTCTCTCTCTCTCTCTCTGGTGAGAAAGGCTCCTAACCCCCAAACCTAACTTCGGTAGTTAACTAATGAACTCTAAAAGCAGTCCGTGATTCGCACGTTAAAAGATAAATACGACCACGCGTTATGTCAATCACGATTGCACACTGCCTCCGAAACTTTTGTCCATCATAAAAAAATCGGATCGGGTTTGGTTTTCTGCATTTTTCGCATACCTACAAAGCAGTGTGAAAGTGTTTTTTGTAAAGTGTTTACCATATGTGTGTGTGTTGATCACTGGAGGGCGCTAAACTGATTACAACTAAATGATGACGGTTTACTAATGTCTTCAGATAGACAGTCTCTCTCTCTCTCTCTCTCTCTCTCTCTGGTTAAAAAGGCTCCTAACCCCCAAGCCACAGCAAAAATGGCTACCCACTGCGTGTCCACGGTTTGCAGGGTGTCAAGTCAAGTCACATTTATTTATATAGCGCTTTTTTACAATACAGACTGTATCAAAGCAGCTTCACAGTGATAACATGAAAATAATACAACACAGATCAATAATATTGTATGTCTCCAACTAAGACAGCCAAAAACAAGGCAACAGTGGCAAGGAACCAAAACTCCATCAGGGACAGAATGGAGGAAAAAACCTTGGGAGTCGGGCGCCAGTTCTCCTCTGGCCAACGAAAGAACAGTGATTACAAAACAAATTGGATCGAAACTTGTCCATATCCATCTGTTTGGAAGTCGAAGTAATCTCGCCGGTTTGTGTGTGTTCACTGCTCACTACTCCTGATGTGTGCACACTACCTAGGATGGGTTAAATGCAGAGGACACATTTAGAGTATGGGTTACCATACTAGGCCTTCACATGTCAGTAACACTCACTCTTTCAGCGTGACCTACTCTCACCTTCCCGCATATCCTCTTTGGTCACTTTTCCCCTTTAGCCCAAGAGACTAACAGTGAAACTCAGGAAAAGGCGCAAATCGAAAGATCCCACTGACCTTGGTCTGTGTCAATCCCTTCCCTGCTAATATCTCTACTGCTACCACAACAAAATGAACAATTCTTCTGACTCTCATATGCTTTTCAAAAGCTTAATCCTCCTGCGGCTGACACGGCTGACAACTTTGCCACATTTTTCATGAATAAAACAACGACCATCAGCAGCCAATTTTCCACACCACAAACTGACACGCTTATCTTAACAGCAAACGCACACGTTCAACCCTCCTTCTCTCCGCTATCACAGAGGTAGAAGTCTCCAAACTTGATTGTACCCCCATTCATCTCCTTCAAGCCATTTCTTCTACACTTGTACCCACACCCCCTCATATCATCAACTCTCTTCACACTGGTACCTTTCCCACAGCATTTAAGGAGGGCCGAGTAACCCCACTGCTTAAAGCTACACTGTGTGATTTTTACCCCCATCTAGTGGTGAAAACGTATATGAACATCCAGAGAATATTAGTTTCTGTTCCTCTCAATTCCGATTTCGTTTTAACTCCTACGGTCGCCATTGGCTTCCAGTTCGACCTCGTCCATGAGTGTTAACTCAAAAGTAAACACGAAATGCGAAGCTCGAATTAACAGGTATGTCCCTCTTTGGCTACTGTACTTTCAAGATGGAGGGGCAACATGGCGACCGACATTAGAACCCCTTACCCGTATGTATTTTCAATGGCATATTATACACTCACGAGAATACTTTATTACTTGAACGAAGTAAATATACATTAATGAGCACATATAGTTTTGAAAGAACTAAGTGTTTTTAGCTAAGAATAAACTAAAAGAGTTACACAGTGAAACCAACTCTAAATCCAGCACTTTTGTAAGATTACAGACCGGCCTCCCTTCAATTCAATGCTAAAACACTTGAATGAGTCGTTTTCTAATAAATCTCTACCTTTCTTGCACAGATAAAACAACCAGTGGTTTCACTGGCCTGCCCTGCTCTCGGTTATTGTAGCTCTGAGACTCAGTACTCATCCTCCTGGATCTGACTGCTGCTTTTGACACAGTTAAGCACCAGATCCTCCTGTCAATCCTCAAGACGAAGGCCATCTCAGGAACCAAACTCCAATGGTTCAAGTTTTACCTCTCAGGAAAGTCCTTCAGGGTGTCATGGAGGGGTGAGGTGCATCAGGGCTCAGTGTTGGGACCGTTTCTCTTCTCCATCTACATGTCATCATCAGGATCTGTCTTTCAGAAATATGGCTTTTCCTATCACTGTTATGCTGACGACACACTACTACCTCTCAGACATTTCTTGATGGATGACGGACCCCCACCTTTAACACAAATCTTACGAAGACCGAGCTGCTCTTGGTCTCGACCAACCCAACGCTCCACCACAAATTTCAATTCATCAGAGTGGGTCGTCATCCATAACTCCATTCAGGAACCTTGGAATTGTGATTGGTGATCAGTTTTCTCATGCGTGCCGCCATTTTTGCGCCATTTTCAATAAATGTTATGATGTTATTCCCATTCAATCAATGACACTTAAGCATTTCCCTATTTATTTGTTTTTTGCTGGGCAGTGTATACATCCATAAATTAAAAACCTTGGTTTCGGTGCTGTGCTAGACTAACTGGGACTAGTCACAGCACTTGCATATTGTTGCCCTATTGTTGGTTTGATTGCTTCTATTGCTCTCATTTACAAGTCGCTTTGGATAAAACCATGTGCTAAGAATTAGTAAAGACAGACATATAGATAAATAGTCTGGGGAATCAAGGATGAAGAAAGAATAAAGGATGCAAATGAGAAGAGATAAGGGCGGAGAAGCCAACAGAGGAGAGAGATGACAGATCGAGTGAACGCATGAGAGAGAGCGAGCGTGTTCACTGCACTGGAATGATCGTGAGCAGTGGGGCGTCAGATGTGAAGCGCTACACACACACACATACACACACAGCTCCATTATGAATATTCGTCACCGGCTGGCATATCGTACTGCCATCTGTGGTATGTTTCACGCATTAAGTGATCTCTTCATCTTCATTTCATTGGTCCTCGTTCACTCACTGCATCTGAAATCGAGCAGATGTGTGTCACAAATTCAATTCGTTTGATTGTTCCTGCATCCGTATACTCCCAAAGCGCCAAGAGAACGAGTCATTTCATAATCCCCATTTACTTAAATTGAACTGCAAGTTAATTTCATACGAGTCAGTTTAATGTTGCAGGGATCTAACTGGTAGAAGGTCATAAATCAACATGCAAATATATTATTGTGTCTCAGATCATAAAACTCCTTTAATGCAATTTTGAACAATTAAAGTGAAACTTTGTTCCTATGAAATTTGGCAGAGATCCTAAGGACATGGTGGAAATGACAAATACAGAATTTCTTATGTATAGGTCACGACGTCATTTTCTGTTTGGCGTCCTCAATTAGCTTATTGAAAACAATAGCAAAAAAATAAATAAAATAAAATAAAAATACATTTATGATTCCCCTGACAACTGCTCAACCAAATAAAATGTCTAAAATAATCAAATAAAGAACATTATGAAAGCAAATAAAAATAACTAATTTATGCAGATTGGCCTAACAACCATAGACATGTACACTAGACCTCACCTTGGCTACTGCAGTTCATTGGAACGAATGCGTCAATAGAGCCGCCATCTTGAAACAGGGGAGCCCCTCCACTTTAATGCATCAGCATCAATGTAGTAGACACAGGTCTAACGGAAATAAAATCACCATAAATCATCATGAATGCGATTTTTCTTGTTTTTTTTTTTGGTTTGTTCCAACGGTCAGACATGTTATAATTGATTCCAGAAATTTTTTTTTTTTTTTTAAACATTCTTCCTAGTTCAGATTTCATCTGTGAACATCATACGCTGCATAAAAGTCCGCCACCATCAATGAATTCGAAGTAAAGGCAGAGATAGCAGCGTTACCTAGCTACTTCCTATGACAAGACCCCTGTTCCAAGATGGCGGCGGTTTTGACGCATGCTTAGAACCCCAAGGTGAGGTCTAGTCTATGCCTAACAACAACCTAAAGATTAGAAACACAAGTAGTAAAAAACGTTTGTGAATTAGTTGAGAATAGTGGGTACGGCAGATGTTTAAAAAGTTAACCATTACCAAGTTTGAACAGTTGGTGGCTTGAACTAGAATGAACACAAAATTGAGATGAGCACAAGACAACCAAAAGATACTCGACTTCTCAAACATACATTGGTATTCATGAAAGAACATTGGAGTAAATACCATGTTAATCCTTCATCTGATACTGTGGTCGTACATCAGCCAGGAATATTTTGGGTCAACACTTTTACAGGCTCCCGAGGCCTAAACAGAGAGCGTTACGGGTTATGTTTTAACAGGTCCTGTAATTTTGCAGCGACTGACAGAGAGATGAATGTAAAAAAAAACATCTCATAAGAAAAAAAGAAGCTAGTCTAGACGTGTTTGTCTGAATCTAGTCTTAAATTCATTAAAAAATGGTGCCCTAAACAAACATTTAATTGTGTGCGACCGAAATTCACAGGGTTCTTGAAGGAGAAATGAAAATCAATCACATTGTTGAAGAAACTCTGAAACTGTAATACCAAGCTACTTTACAGGATTAGTTCACTCCTGATTATTTACTCAACCCCCGTTATATCAACGATGTTCATTCATTCATTCTTCAGTTGAAAAAAAAGGAAAACATTCCAGGATTTTCTCCATTTAATGGACTTCAATGGGGTCATATGGGTCGAAGGTCCCAAATTAAATACTTCAAAATCGCCAGAAATCGTTGTTTTACCTTAGGCTATTAGTTTTGTTGATGGCATCGGGTCTTCCGCCCACGTGACCTTTTAACGTGATTACGTAATTTGTGGCGCACAGCGAGTGCAAGATGAGCATTCGTGGTTAAAAAGTATATTATTAATGTTTATTTTGTTAGACAATGAGCGCTGGTTTATCTAGATAAGACTCTTATTCCTCGAGACTTTGAAGCTGCACTGAAACTCACATTTGGACCTTCAAACCGTTGGACTCTAATTTGTTCGTTTTCCTTAAAAACCTTATTTCGTTTTTTCGACTGAAGACAGGAACATCTTGGATGACATGGGGGAGAGTAAATTATCAGGGAAATTTCATTCTGAAGATAAGTAAACCTTTAACAACAGTCAGGTTCTTCTGTAAAGTAGTTTGCTGCAGGCAAAAACACATTGAGATTTAATTTCAGTCGACAGCAACACACACAAATATACCCCAGATCTAATAAAACCAGAAAAACAAAAGCCCTAAAGAAATCAGCAATGGACGGCAGTAATAAACTCCCCATCCAGAACGATTACATAAAGTGCAGTCTACTGGGAACGCCATTGAATGACTCAAATTAATCAGTGTTTCTTTTAATTAGTTCATTGAAATCAAGCAAAATGTTTCCCTAAAGTGAACCAATCCCATAGAAAGCCTCTCAAATATCCGTCTCAGCTTGTACGAAGCCTTCAATTAAATAAAAAATAAAAAACCATGGCATTTCATCATCATCACACTACATGGAAACATTATTGGTAAGACTAATATTTGGAAACAATTGGCAGTCAGCTCCAATAAAAGCAAACGAGTCATGAACATTTGTAGTTTTATTGAAACTTAATACACAGACCAAACAAAAGACGAACAGGACAAATGAAGAAAACAAAACAGCTGCAAACACATCTGGTCTTCATCAGACGCAAACTCACCTTAGTGTCACAGTACACAAACACAAACCAATAGATAAAATTACATCGACTGTACAATCCAAACGTGTTCTCACGCACTCAGTGACCCCTTATGGAATATAAAAAGGTTTCCTTCAATCATACAGTATGTCAGAGAGGTTAAATAACAGAACTGGGCCACACTGCCGCCCACTGGTCGGCAAGAGTAATACATTTACTCCCAAAATGAGGGAACATTATTGAGCTTACACACACAAGAGCTTCAGGAGAGTCAACTGAAACTAATAGTAGCCAAACCAATCTAATGATTGTCTAAGTGTGTGTGTGAAAGAGGACTGCGATGAACGGTGCTTTTTCGGATCTGCCCAGAAGGGTTTCACAACCACAAGAACCATAAAGAGCATCGAGAACGAAGACAGACGTTCTTGGGCATCTAAACGCAATATCTTTCTGCACAGGCTGGTTTAAAATGTGAATGGCCGTTCTCGTCACCAACTAACGCAGTGGTCGAAGACTTTAAAAACTACAAACCTGAACGTGTCTGAAGAGGGAACGCAATTGTTTGAGGTTTGACAATCCAATTAGTTTGTACTGGCAGAATACGGTTAGCGCAAACCAATTGATGAGGTACAAAATGCACGTTAGTGTCTCTTTAAGATCTCTAATATCTACATGTGATGCATTCTGATTGGCCCGATCAATTAAAGCACTCTCCCACCAAGTATCCCAACATTAGTTGATTTCTATTGACAAACTAAGCAGTTTATTTAACAAAACTATTTTTTTTTTTTTGCTCTACCCTTCAGACAACCTGTTAAAAATCCAATCATAAAACATCTAGCTCATTAGCTCCTCCTCCAAACCTCACACACACACACCGAGCTTTCAGGACGCCAGTCTTAAAACAGCGTGACTTAGTAAGTTTGCTGCAAACTTGTGCGTTAATGTCAACGTTGGAGATCGACCCTTCCCATCCGGCTGTTCTTTAACGCAGGGGTCAATCGTGCGACGGGTCAGTCTAAAAGTGTCCGTTATCAAGCTGTGGAAATCTGGGAAATGGTTCAGGACTTGTGAAATGAAACTTCAGCTGTGCATTAAGGGTCAGAGGATCTACTCTACATGCATGCCCGCGTGTCTGTGGCGTTTAAGAGTCGTCTCCGTTGGCGCTGTCTCCATCGTCCTCTCCTTCCTCCTGCTCACCCTCCTCTTCCTCCTCCTCATCATCCTCCCTTCCTCGACTCTTGATCTGCACAAACCAAACGTGTGAGTGAATACGAGCAAGGTGATATGGGGTTGATTATTCTAGTCAAGACATTAGTCGACTAGCCGTGCGTTTATTTTAAGCCATAAATCATAATAACGTGCCTTTAATTGCCTATATTAAATATGTATAGCCTAACCAGCACTCAGATTCAAACAAAGCTGGCCACAGCGCACCGGCAAACGTAATGGTTATTAATGTGTCGTAAAAAAAAAAAAAACAGATTTAGACCGGCTAAACATTTGAATCATTGGTTGGTCTCGACTCGTCATCTCTATACATGCTCACTAGGGTTGGGTATCGTTTGAATTTGAACGATTCCGATTCCTTGTTTCGATTCCGGTTCCTAACGATTCTCGATTTCGATTCTTTTAAGAGGCAGGGTCAAAAAAGTTTAGCTAACCTTGCTAACCAACGCTCTTTCTGAAGGAAATACTCCTTCTGTCACAAATTTTGCATTTTGCCGAGATTTCGTTAATTTTTAGAAAAGTGAAGCCACACTTTGGACCGCCGACGTAAGCTACTCATGTTCGACTCGCGCGGTTATGCCAACACTTCCGGTAGACGCTTCTTCGTTGGTGTTGTTCAGCTGTTTCTTCTTCCGCTCGGCGGACTGTGAATATCGAAACTAGGAATTGAAATTTTTACTTTTGAACGATTCCGGGAAAAGTCCCGGTTCCAATCGATACTCGATTCTCGATACCCAACCCTAATGCTCACTTCATACGGATTACATAATCTGATAATATTTGTTCATTTAAATGTAAAAAAAAAAGCTTTCTATAGATATTATATAGATATATTTCTGATGTCTGAGGGGCAAATATAGGGTACGCTACACTTTGTTTCAGTTCATGTCTGTGATGCTCCTTCAAGAAAACGAATCGTCAGAAAGCGCCATTATTTTACACTTTTATATTAAATTACATTAACATTATGTACATTATAATTAACTTTTTGGGAAATGCTTAACATTAGTTAACATGAACTTGAGGCAGAGATGCCACGTCTTTTGCCACGAGTCCAAGTCAAGTCTCTAGTCTTAAATTATTAGGAATTGTCTAATTAAATATGTGCGAATTTGCATATTTAAAAAAAGAAATCTGAATAGCCTATTAGACAAAGCCAGGTTTAAAATATTTTTTCATTGTGTTCACGTACAGTAATAGATGGGGGAAAATAGATATTTATGGATATCTACTTTTGTTATCCTGTTATCAGATAGCCTTAAATAGATTTCCGCCATGTTTTTAGAAAAACAATGTTATATAAATCAAGCTAGGAATAATATATTTACAAATCCATCTGTAATAGTCTTCATAATAAAACTGACTGGACAGTTTGGTGTATTAGGTTTGGTATATCGGTGCTACTGAAGTGGAGATTTCAGACGTGGAGTTTGAGAGAAAAGTCATTTTGAGAAAACGCAAAACGGGATCTAAAGATTTCCATCAGGCCAATGAGATTGCTCATTTAGAGTTAAATCCCCCCTTTTACTTTCGCGATTGGTTGCTGATTAAAAGGAAATGAACATATTTGGATCCGACAACATTGTACAGGAGAGAGAGAGAGAGCTTTCTAACGATGTCTGTGATGACGGTGCAGATTGCGGAGCAGCGAGATGATTTACAATGCCAACTTTTGTTGAATTTATGAGAAATCTACAATCGACGGTTGGATTGTTTTCCTCCGCTGTGGGCGTGGCCTAAATACGCTCCGTCTCATGCACAGTATGACAAAGGGCGGGGGACATGCAGCTTTTCATATCATACGCTTCCCCAACGTATGCGCCAATAAAAGAAAATAGAAATACATTCAAATGAATTTAGATTTAAAAAGCAATAATTGCATGAAAACAGGTTGCTGACAAGTCTTTTGGGTCGAGTCGCAAGTCAAGTCTGAAGTCAGTGTTTGTGTGACTCAAGTGCGACTCGAGTCCGAGTCTCAAACTCGAGTCCCCATCTCTGACCTGAGGATGAGCAAAACTTCCTTAGCATTTATTAATCTTAATTAAGATCTATTAATCTTAGATCGCATTACATGCGATCACCATGATCCGATCAAGCAGATCTGGAGCAAAGTCGACCTGAAGCGGTGGGTTTCCAATCGGGGGAAAATTTACAGGCCGATATATCGGCAGGCCGATATTATCGGCCGATACTAGGCATTTTCCAAACTATCGGTATCGGCAGTTATAATGGCCGATAAATGAATATTTCAAAAATAAAATAAAAACGGATGAAACACGCTTCAACCATGTCATGTTGGAGTTGTATAGTTTGTCCACCAGAGGGCACTCTACACCATCCCAGTTGGCAACACTCGTTTATAATGCGCAACTAGCTAACCACAAAGCTAGCTAATGCCACTATCATCAGTGGAATTCAATGAGCTTTGATAATTAATTAATGAGCTTTGGTTCCTCCTCTGTTCTGTTGCGACAATAAAAGAAACAAATTTCTTTTTAAAATGAATTATCATATTATTTTATTTAAAACTCATACATAACTAAAAATAACGAATGTTAGGGAAATCTGTTAATGTTTTGTTGTGCGTTCATGAAAAAAAAATATCGGCCGATATATCGGATTTTAAAACCAACAAATTGTATCGGTATCGGCCTTCAAAACTCTTTATCGGTCGGGCTCTAGGTGCAAGTACCATTAATGTGCAGGTAATTAAAAATTAGCAAGTACTAACAATGTGTATGGATGCCGTAAGGGAACGTGAAGAACGTGGCCAGAAAAATGCGTGTTCTTCACAGAAAATGAGCGGTTCTGAAACTTTCGAGTGCGAAGGCGAACATTTCAGTATATTTGCGATGTACTTCGCACTCGACTGTATCGCAAACCCACACAGCTCCCAGTCCCGGAGAGAGGATGGGGAATGATGACCGTCGTTCTCTCACCTCCTCTTCCTCCAGCAGGTCTCCTTCATCCTCGTAGTCGTTCAAATCCGTGCTCTCGCGCTCCTTCTTCCCGCTGGAGTGCTGTGGCGACACCTCCTCTGGTTTAACACCCTTCACATCTGCGCAGAAACACACAGATAATCAGTGATTGTGGAAAGGTTTCTGATCTGATCTGAATCACGATCTTCTCAATTTTGAGACGTACGATCCAGAATATCCAGACTGAAACAAGCCTATGGACTTAATTTAAAACACTGTATTGCATTAAAGGGCTGATACAATGCCATTTTCACAAGATGTAAAATAAGTCTCTGATGTCCCCAGAGTGTGTGTATAAGATATTTTGTAGCATGTTAAAATCTTCACTTTTTAAGGTTAAATAGTAAAAACGTGTTTTTTGTGTCTGTCCCTTTAAATGCAAATGAGCTGCAGCTCCCAGCACAGGGGGCGGAGCTTCAACAGCTTGTGTGTGTGTTAGCAGCTCTGATTACAAAAAAAAATGTCTCTGTTTTACTTTATTCACTTGGAGGAAACTAGTGTTGCAGCAAAAGGCAACAGATATAGTGAAGCTGCTTTGATACAATCTGTATTGTAAAAAGCGCTATATAAATCAATGTGACTTGACTTGACTTGTGCTGGGCGGTTTGACCAAACATTTACATCACAGTCTTTTTCAAAATTAAGCCGGTTTTCCGGTTTACGACTTTTTTTCCCATGCATAATCAGGTGTTCACAGCATTTAATAAAATTGATATTTCTTAACATTCAAATAACATTCTTATAAACAGGAAATAACGTTAAAATACAACGTTTATATAATGGGAGAATTGAACGTTTGAATTATGTTCTTACAGCCAAGCATGAACGTTAATACAACGTTTATATAATGGGAGAACTGAACGCTCTTATAACGTTTTGAATAACGTTCCTTCAACCAAGAAATAACGTTAAAACAACGCCTAAAAAAACTGGACGTTTCGAATGTTCCTACGTTTTTAGAATTTAATGGGAACGTCATAAAAACGTTCTTATAACGTTTTGAATAACGTTCTTTCAACCAAGAAATAACGTTAAAACAACGCCTAAAAAAAATGGACGTTTCGAATGTTCCTACGTTTTTAGAATTTAATGGGAACGTCATAAAAACGTTCTTATAACGTTTTGAATAATGTTCTTTCAACCAAGAAATAACGTTAAAACAACGCCTAAAAAAACTGGACGTTTCGAATGTTCCTACGTTTTTAGAATTTAATGGGAACGTCATAAAAACGTTCTAATAACGTTTTGAATAACGTTCTTTCAACCAAGAAATAACGTTAAAACAGCATCTAAAAAAAACTGGACGTTTCGAATGTTCCTACGTTTTTAGAATTTAATGGGAACGTCATAAAAACGTTCTTATAACGTTTTTAATAACGTTCTTTCAACCAAGAAATAACGTTAAAACAGCGCCTAAAAAAACTGGACGTTTCGAATGTTCCTACGTTTTTAGAATTTAATGGGAACGTCATAAAAACGTTCTTATAACGTTTTGAATAACGTTCTTTCAACCAAGAAATAACGTTAAAACAGCGCCTAAAAAAACTGGACGTTTCGAATGTTCCTACGTTTTTAGAATTTAATGGGAACGTCATAAAAACGTTCTTATAACGTTTTTAATAACGTTCTTTCAACCAAGAAATAACGTTAAAACAGCGCCTAAAAAAACTGGACGTTTCGAATGTTCCTACGTTTTTAGAATTTAATGGGAACGTCATAAAAACGTTCTTATAACGTTTTGAATAACGTTCTTTCAACCAAGAAATAACGTTAAAACAACGCCTAAAAAAACTGGACGTTTCGAATGTTCCTACGTTTTTAGAATTTAATGGGAACGTCATAAAAACGTTCTTATAACGTTTTGAATAACGTTCTTTCAACCAAGAAATAACGTTAAAACAGCGCCTAAAAAAACTGGACGTTTCGAATGTTCCTACGTTTTAATAATTTAATGGGAACGTCATAAAAACGTTCTTATAACGTTTTGAATAACGTTCTTTCAACCAAGAAATAACGTTAAAACAGCGCCTAAAAAAACTGGACGTTTCGAATGTTCCTACGTTTTTATAATTTAATGGGAACGTCATAAAAACGTTCTTATAACCTAAGTTTGTTATCAGGGGAATTGAAGAGATTCGCAATTGCACTGAACACATTTTTATGTGCTGGATTCTCTGATCGAGCCCAGAGAAAATAGGCCTATTCTCACAAGAGCGCACTCGGCACCTTAAATTCCGAGCGCGAGTCGAGAGATTTTCGCTTGCGCATTTTATTAATATACTCTCGACATTTGAGAGGAAAATAACGCCATAGTTCTGCAGCATCCATCTCCCCTGTAACACCAGAGCACTGATGTATATCCTCGGCCTTGCCTCGCAGTCGCTGAAATCGGTATGGTGGTATATTAAAAATGCATATCATAAAAAAAACATACACCGGTTTTTGGTATGAAGTGACCCAGGACAAGACAATACATAATAAAACCCAAATACATAAGATCAATACATAATAGGGGTGTCACGCTACATGAAAAAACACCCGAACCGTTCGGTTCGCTTGTCTCGGTTCGGAGCGTGTGTGCGTCTCACGGTTCGACGCATGCGCAATGTAGCCTCGTGCCCGTATGTGACGTGCGTTTTCTTTTCGCGCGACATAAGCTTGTTCGACTTATAACATCAAACTAGTGCGAGAGCGACGGCTCCGTCACTCAGTTTCGCGGTATTTGAAGTCATTACCGATCGCTCTGTGCAGCGCCGGTTCAAGTTAGTAAACAAGCCAGTAAAAGTGGAGTATGGAGCGCTGCAGGTCACGGCACGCGGGGAAATGGCAAGGGGGAGAGATGAGGGAGTTGGAGGATAAACAAGGCTTTACTCCGTGTCAGCAGTCAGCACGCGCTCTGATCAGTAGGTGAACTCCGCCTCCGACTCCGTTTCCCTCCTCAGCTGATATTAATATTTAAACATTCTCTATGATAAAAAATGTTTGTAAAAAATGGCGGTTTTGGCGGTTGTAGAGTTATGATGGTGTTCAAATACATAACATTAGACTAACGTTAGCCAGCTTATAGTATCTTGATTCAGTATGCTAGTATTTATTTGAGATATTGTTTTTTTATTAATTGAGCAGCAGAAAAAATATTATTTATATTAGTCGTCCAATTAGTCATTAGATTAGTCGACTAATCGATAAAATAATCGCCCAACTAATCGTTTAGTTAATAATCGTTTACCCCAGCCCTAGTGGGAACATGTTGGATTTCATGTGATGATATTTTAATATAACGCTACAGTGGCACTTTGTTTAAATAAGAGCTCCAGTCATATGTTTCCAAATCCTGCACTTTAATTTCAAGTGAAAAAAAGGTACCCTCACTTTTTGGGCATAGAAGCATTGTTGATACTGTTTTTTGTGTTGAGGTTCACTTTGTTTATGGCCTTTGCTATTGCTATAGCCTAATTATAGGCAATGAGGTTTCATGTATATTGACTTATTCATAAAAGACAGTGTTTTAAGAGTTCCTCTTTTTTTCTTTTAAAAGATAGAATTTTTGTAAGAGCTACAAAAGTCAGCAGTTGATAAATGCAAGTTAATTTCTTTGTGTAAATAAGATTTGTGTGACAAAAATGCACAAGTTCTTGTAGACATAGTGATACACATTCTCCTTTTTTTGCCAAATAAACGAAAAGCATGTCAATGTCTTCTCTCTTGCTCTATCAAAACCTAGCTTTCCTCTGAGACAGTCCCAAAATGTGCTTAAAGTCAAGGAGTCAAATTCAGTTTGTGCATGATTGCATGAATATCATTTTTTTATACTGTATCCTAAAGTGTGGATAATTAAGCTATACATCACATGCTGAAGTACATTTCTGGAGTGTTAAAGATTAAAAGAAAAAATATAACAAGAACCGTGACTCAAAGCGAATCGTCGGTTTCGTGAACCGTGCCACCCCTAATACGCAAGATCACTCATAAGATCACTCTCAACGATAACTTGAGAAGTAGTTCATGGACATCTTCAAGATGGAGCACAACATAAAATCGTCAGATTGAAAGTAAAAGTGGTCATTGCACAACAAACCAGACTTGTGAAAGTAAACGGTCTCGCACCTGATTTCTTGCTGTGGTCTCTCTCCATGCGCTCCAGGCTCTCCAGCAGATAGTCCACTTTGTGTTTAATCTGAGTCAGTTCCTTCTTAATGGTTTGTAGATCATCAGTTTTCACTGCGCACACACACACACACGCTCATTAGCCCAAATGTACACTACTAAGTATAAGTAAGTATAAACACTGCTTGTGTGATACCTAAATACAGTAATGTACATTTGAAGTGGATTAAACTCTTTCAAAGTTAGATGAATTTTGAACAAATTCCCATTCTTGTCTTAGGACAACTGATTTGATCCACTTCAAATCTTATCTACTGCAGTCTACTCTGGAAATATTATTTTTCCATTTTTATCTAAACCTGAAAAATACTAAAATTGCTAGGACCTGTGAGGAACAGTGTGTGTGTGTGTGTGTGTAAAGCACTCACTGGTGCGTGAGGTGCGCTGGCTGCTCTTGGAGGAGAAGCTGCTCTTGGTCCTGCGACTGCCGCCGCTGACGCTCACCCGCGCGCGCTTGGACGGGATCACCGCTCGCGACAGCGGGGGAGGGGGAGGCGGCGGGACGCGTGACGGGTACGAGTACATCCTGAAACACACACTCATATTAACACACACTCAGAGAATCGAGCACTCCGTCAAATCAGACAATAAACGCCGTTAAAGGTGCAGTGTGTGATTTTTTTATTTTTTTTAGCAGCCTGACAGGAAGTGATGTCATCATCTGAGACAGCAGCCAGTTTATCAGTGAGGTTTCTTTATAAAGAAATTCAGTAAAACGATGTTATTGGGATTATTATTGTTACTTGTTCATCATTGTGTCAGTTTTTGCACCAAGAACACAGTGACAAATCGCGTTTGTCCGTTTTGGGCCACCGTAGAAACGTGTCAAGCGGACCCGCGGGGTGTGTAGAGAGGAACAGGCATCCAAATTCTCATTCTAAGGTAACGGTTCATTATGTAAGGTCTTCATACACCACTGAAAACATAGGTATGCGTATTATATCGCATTTCTTAGATTACACAATGCACCTTTAATGAATAAAGCATTTGATCAGATTAAGCTTGCATGAATCCTTCAAGAGTGAGCGCTCACCTGTCATAGTAATCTCTCTGAAAGTCATAGTCCAGATCAAACGAGGAACTGTGGGAGGAGACGGCAAAGAATTAAAAGCGGAAAATACTTAAACTGTATAAAATAGAATAACAATATAAAATGCAGACCTGTACATATCTCCAGCAGAACGTTTAATAGTCTTTGACCGATGGGGTTTTGGCTCACCGGCCAGATTAATATCTAAAAAAGCAGAAAGAATAAACATTAAACCACGAGACAAGTCGATTCGGATTAAAGCGCCAGCTAAAGAAATTAATGTAAATGTAAACATGAGGTGCACATGCATGTAGACATTTAGCACACAAGTAAAACCTTTTGGAATGGTTCGACTTGACTTTACAGAATGTTAATACTTTTTATAAGATCAAAAAAAAAATTGTATTTTGTTTTTATTTACAACTGCTATTGTAAAATATGCTATTTCCATAACTTCCACCTCAAAAGTAAATACATTTTTTCCATACATAAAGCCAATTCTTAAGATTTTGCTGTGAAAAATTAACTTAAAGTTGTTTTTTTACATTTTACTAATGAGAATTTGGATGGAAGCATGCTAAAATGTCATGAAAATTATGTCAAAAATTTAATGTTACTAAAATTACGCTTAATGCTAAATTTTGATTTTCAGAGGACATTTTTGTGAGATTTCCCACTGACTTAAACGAGGAAATACTCAAAAACTGCTTGCCAAATTCACATTTACTTGACATTTCAAATCAGCAACTAAATGTACACTTTAATGGGACTGACGATATCCGATTTAGTTGCTGATTTGAAATATACTTACCGAGCACCTGTCCGACGATCATCCTCCCGTCTTCTCCGCTGACCGCCGCTCTGGCGTTCCTCTCATTGGCGTATTGGACGAACGCGAAGCCTTTGTGGACGGAGCAGCCCACGATCTTCCCGTACTTACTGAAGATGGCCTCCACATCAGCCTTGGTCACCAGCATGGTGTTGAGATTCCCGATGAAGACCCGGGAGTTCAGCGAGCGCGGGTCCGTCTTGTTGGTGACGTTACTGGCCATCAGGCTGCTGGTTGTGGGGGAATGTCTGGGCGAAAAGAGAGGAATGGAAGGGGTGCAGAAGATTGACAAAGAAAAACGAGAAATTAGCTTGTCAAGAACAACTCTAATGGCCCCAGTAGCCGTTTCCATCCAAAGTTGCGAATTTAACCATTTTCAACTAAAAAATGCGTTTTGGCCGTTCATTTACACGACGTCGGCGTTTTGGGTGCCTGAAAACGTAAAGTTTGGAAAACAGGTTTCAAAGGCTATTTTTACATAGAAACGCGTTGCATTATCACTTATTATTCTGCGTTAAGACAAAGCGTTATGGGTGGGAAATCCGCGTGCATATGGTGACGCAAAAGTGTGTGAAATCCGATGTAGTATGCACTCCAGGCCGCTAGGTGGCGATGTGGAGCACTGTCTGCACACATCCTTCACTGTCTAGCAGACTTTTGCGTTTTTACGGAGCAGGGGCGGTGGAGCATTTTTAAGATTTCCACTCTTTTTTGCGTTTTTAAGCCCCCAAAACGGCGTCACTGTGTAAACGAAAGGCACATCCGATAATATATTTTCCCCCGCAAACGTCCTCATGTAAACGAGGCCAAAGTGCAAGTTTTTGAAAACCGTCTCCATGACGTGAATCTCTGAAGTTGACTTCATGCGCAGGTGTATTACGTGTTCAGTCTATAGTGTTTCATCGCCATCTGGTGGCCTGGCAACAGAACAGCTTTTTAGCCGTTTTCACTGATCCGTGTGAATGGGATTGTTTTGACAATGGTGCCACAGACACCAAACTGACATTGAATCAACGTGGAAACGACGTCTCTCATGACATTGAAACAACGTTGAACCAACGTCAGACGCGGCATTCTTCAAAGCTAAATGAAAATCGAAAATTGGTTTGCTTTCATAACGTTGAAACAACGCGTTGATTTCAAGTTGATTTTCCGTTAGTTTTGAAAGAATGACGCGTCTGACGTTGGTTCAACGTTAATTCGATGAGCAAAACTACGTCAGATCAACGTTGTTTCGATGTCATATTTCCACGTTGATTCAATGTCAGTTTGCTATCTGGGGCCGCCTATACACGGAAACTCAAAGGAAAAACTACAAACTTTCATTTTGGCTGTTCATTTGCATGTCAATGGCATTTTGGGGGCAAGAAGACACAAACTTTAGAAAATGGGTTTCAAAACTACCTGTAAACTACAAAAACAGGAATTTGTGAAAACGGTGACGTCACGCTTAGTCTATAGGCACTACTGTATTTACAAATTGACATTGCCAGCAGAAACCAGCGTTTTTAGTCGTTTTCGGGGATCCGTGTGAACGGGGATCTTTTGACATCGTTTGACAAACACAAGGGAAACCCTCTTCCATTTTTAGTTCATTGTTGTCAAGTAAACATACCCTAAAACAACATTCGAGATGCTGTGTAATGAGATGCAAGTCCAGTTACCAGATCAAAATCAGTTTTTTTGTTGTTTTCCATAATAGTTAATGCGCATGTCCTCTTATCAGATACAAAAGTGCATACTTTATGCCTATTTTAAGATTTTTTGTTATTCAACGTCCCAAAATTCACAAAAGTAGACGGAAACGAGCTAGTGAGATCGGATCAGTTCTGGAGATAGTGTTCAAGTCAACATGAAGCAGCCGCAACACATTTTACATCTATGGTAATATGCACTGTGGAATCACTCAAAATAAGACCAGAAACACATTATTATTGAGAAAATGTGGTCCATTTTGGTTTCGTGTTGACTTTAAATGAATTCTTACAGAACCACGTTAAGATTACAGTCTAGTCCATTTGCATTCAATTATTATACCAGAAAACAAGACATATGAGATAAAAACAAACATTTCCAAGATATATAGTTTGAAAAAAATCAAGATTAAATGTTTAAGCATTGGTTTCATAAGTTATATCAACTAGTATGCTTAAAATCAGAGCCACGGCAGCCATATATGAAGCTTTCCTAATGTGCTTAGGTGAACATTTGATTCACATATCAACTAGAAGGGCTTGTATGGTGTAGTTTATGCAGTTTGTTGGGCGACGACGTTCACATCTTCACATCAGGACTGGGCGAGTGACGTAGAGATTTATGGGCTGACTTTTTAGATACTGCATGCAAACTAAAAATTCAGAAGTGAAATGAATCATCCAGGTGTTTTATTACCGCTTTGATGAAGACTAATATGCATGGAACTGTCCTTAAAATGCATCTGGTTTTGTGAAGTACTATGACACTATGTGTGTGGATCATTTTCAGCGCTTATGGCACGTTTGGAAATATCTTTGGACGCTTAGACCGCCACATAAGGTTCACATTGAGATATTTAAGTGTGCTGAGGGGGATGCTGGGGGTTGAATAGTCAGAACTCACTCCATTTTGTCTGTAATTCAGGTCGAGTCGTCTGTCTGCCTGATTCTGTTGGAGAGAAGAGGGTGGTTATTGGACACCGTTGAGCTGCTGCTCAGCAGTGCATTGTGGGTGAAGGTCGTACTGTGTGGGTGGGTGATGTAACAGACGTCACAGCAATTTTAACACTCTCCCAAGGTCAAACACGCAGTCTAGTGTTCGGCTGATGCCACCCAGTGGTTTGTGTAAAAACTTGAGGCAAAGAAAATGAAATCCAGACAGATATCCCAAATCAAATGAAACTGAAGTGTTATTTAAACTCATTAAACCCACTCAATCCCAAACTAAAACCCTTTTAATTTAGGAGAGAAATGCGTCAAAAAGAGTGACGTTTCTCCGCCACGTGACGAAATGACGCATCAAATCCTGCGCTAATGAAAAAAACCCTTTGAAACGCCACCAAAGGAGATTAAAGATGCCTATCAAGTGATGCCCTCGGCACAGCTTAAGACACACCATTAATCAGTATTACAGACCACTGAACACAAAGAGATGAATATCAGTGTGTCTCATAATATCAAGTTTAAGGTCAAAGAGAGTTAGAGGTCTGTGCAAATGAAAAACTCAAATTCTCCCCAGGCTCCATGATAGATAGAACAAGAAACATGAATTTTGGGAAATTTGGGCCTGTAATTGGTTGGATATTAACATTACTGTATAAATGCAAATTTAAAAATGAAGACCATTTGAATGTCTTAATATTAAATTGTCAACAGTAAAATGTGCTGAAGACAATATTGTTTCCTCATTGGTAGGGTTGGGTATCGAGAATCGATTGGAACCGGGACTAACTTTTCGTTTTTCCCGGAATCGTTCAAAAGTTAAAAATAGTAGCTTACGTCGGCGATCCAAAGTGTGGCTTCACTTTTCTAAAAACGAAATCTCGACAAAATGCAAAATTTGTGACAAAAGGAGTATTTTTACAGAAGGAGTATTTCCTTCAGAAAGGTTTATTTCCTTCAGAAAGGCCGTTGGTTAGCAGGGTTAGCTAAACTTTTTTGACCCTGCCTCTTAAAAGAATCAGAATCGAGAATCGTTAGGAACCGGAATCGAAACAAGGAATCGGAATCAGAATCGTTCAAATTCAAACGATACCCAACCCTAGTCATTGGTGGAATGGTGGGTATTTCAGGATTAATGTATCAATAGGAAAAACCCAAGACCGAATGATAATTACAGTAAACATTGTTTTCACCCCTGACAAATGAAGATGCAATGGTGCAATGTGGGCATTTCAGAACGAAAGTTCATGGGAAATCAATGTGTGAGTTTTAAATAATAATAACTTTAATTTAGTTGTACTTTAATAACTAAAATATTGTTTTTGAAGCCTCTATCATGGCAGCCAATATGCTGAAGACTCATGGGGCAGCGGAAGACAGAAAATATGTTTAAATGACATGAAATGAAAACAAAGTAGACATAAACTTGCAATTGTCCTCTATAGTACACTACCACAGACTCAAAATAAGACCTCGGTATCAAATGTTGGGATTTTTTATAGGTGTGGCTCAGAAAGATTGAGTGTCTTTGGTCTTTTTTGCTTTACTATGAAACATCTCTAATTGAACTTAAACAAAAATGCACAGGTCTATACACTATTTATGAAGTATTTTTTAAACTATGGCAGATTTAAAAGGTGACGAAAGCAAGTAAAGGCTACACACAACAAACGGGAGTCTAGTCTGCACACTTTTCAGAAAGATTGGTGCGGAAGTGGAGAATAAAGTAAAACCAACTTACGGATTGACGAGGGTCAAAAAAGCTGCCTCAAAAACTACAAAAAAAGCAAAATGAATAAAATCAGAAATGAACATCTCACTAAAGAAAGGGGAATGCTTTTTTTGTTTGTTTTGGGTTTTTTTTAACTGGGCTGACAGACCAGAAGTCTGGCCAACATGATAGGGCTAATCCATCTTCATGACAGAATTGGTGTACATAATGTTCACTTGATTATGAAAGTGGGACCTTCTTGACTTTAGACATTGTCTTTGTGAGTCTAGACCAGGGTTTCCCAAAGTGTGGGTCACAAGTTCTGTGAAAAATCTAATTTAATCAAATTAAAATAAAAGATAACACTGAATCAATCCCATTGCATTAAGTTGTAGTCATCCTGTCTTTGCGGTCACATCACAACACTTGTTTCTTTTGATAAAGCAGACAGAGAAAATAATTAAATTATAATAATTATATAAACGATTCAATTCCTCTCCTGACATTTCATAACCAAATGCAAGGTTTTATTTTATATAAAAATATAAATGTAAAACATTATTGTGAGTAATCATAAAACAGGTTTGAGATGATAAAATGTACCTAACGTAATGAACCCAATATCTCAGGGTGTGTGTGATTCTCAAGTTTGGGAACCCCTGATCTACACATTTATTATTGATAAAAACAAAACCAGCTTTAGCTGGAGTATGATGCTGATGTGTGCCTAGTGGTGAACATGATTTGGTGCACTTTGTATATTCATATTACATACTCGTTTATCAAAACAATAGACAAATACTTGTATAATCTATATCAAGCAGAGAAAGAAAACAACAAATTTAATTACTGTCAGGTGTGATATTGCATTGAAAATATTGTGCAAATCTTACACGAATATGTAAGTGTGTGTGTTTGTGGGGAGGGAGGACATAAATATAATGTTCATATCATCAAGCCCTCCTACTAGAGCTTCTTCATGGGCTGAAATTTTGGATTACACACAAATAGGATGTAATATCTAATAGAATAGATGCATGGGGCAGTTGAGCACATGAGCGAAGGCAGAAAGACTGATTCTGGCCCACTCCTTAAAACATTTATTAAATAAATAGTAATGCAACCAGCTCAATTTATCATTCTTGATGTACTTTTAATGGAAAGATTGACCGTTTACATGATTTCGCATAGACCTTGGATGCAAATGTAAAAAGTGTTCAAATGGTCCATGCTTTGAAATAGAGAATTGCATGAGGCAGAAAACGTGTTTTCTCAGTCCATTAAAAGTGCTGAAACAATCTGCAAAAACGTCGCCTGAAAATTCAATCGACACGATTCTGGAACGCAACGACCCTCAAAAATAGGAGCAAAAATAACGCCCAAATAACCGTATTAAAACGGCCAAGCTCAGTCCAAATGTCTACAGCTGAATAAAAATAGTCTACTCGTGTTGGGGGAAAACAGTCTGTCATCTTAAAAATGGTTTTAAAACATGATAAATATTCTGAATCCAGGACATGGAGGGAAAAACGACCCCATCTTGAAAACACAACCACCGGTCCATGAGACATTTCCTCCACAATAACTTAGAAAAACAAAAACAAATAAACCAGCTGCTCTAGCAGTAGTCCTGCAAAAAAATGGGGTGAAAAATAACTCCTACTTTGAAAAATAAAAATTAAAATGGTGCGGTCCTCTCAAAGCATACATGTTCTTTTTTTCACTGCTCTACCACGGCATCACAAAATGTACGCCACCAAAGCCAAGCAGAAAATGACCAGAAAAATGCATTAAAAATAAAAAATAAAAACCACAAAAATTCTCCAAAGATAGTTCAAAGTCAGTCAAAAATAAAAAGTGACAAAAATCTCTCGAATCAAAATACTCACCGGGAGTTTAAGACTAAAAATGATTAAAATTCGGTGCTGTACTGTTTTGTGGATACAGTCCGTACCAGCTCGTTCAGTAGACACCGACCAGACGAGTGCACGAAATGGCGTCGAGCAAATGCGCACTGAAGACAAGCCCCGCCCTGCTCTACATATCCTGGAATCTCATTGGCTGCTTTTCAATGCGCCGCAGAAACAGATGGCACCGATTGGTGGATTCACGCGTCCATCTATTTCACGCGTTTCTTTTTAAATAAAGAGCACGTCTGATTGGTGGATGGCGGATTTGCTTCGCTGCGTCCTCCCCTCAGAGCACTATAATCGCTTTTACAAAAGATTTTCATCTCATTTTTTTACAGTAAGGTCGTTGAAATTGAAATAAAGTCATTCACAAAATTAAAATGTACTATGGTAAACCACATTTTCTTATAAAATAGTTATTTTTACTACAATAAACCGTGGTAAATGTATTGTAAACAAAGTGAAAGAAACAATGCCACCTTTATTTATATATCGCTTCAAATACAATTTGTTTCAATGAAGCTTATAGTGAAAAAACAAACAAACATCAAATAGTGTCATAATAGTGTCAGCTTAAGTAAGTTCAGTGTTGGTTATATTTTTCTTGGGAAAAAAAAAGTTAATTTAGATCGTAGCCTATATCTGCTCTGAGAAAACAGTCATCATCCAGATAAGTTCAGTTATCATATAATGGTGCAGAAAACACTGTCAGAACTTTTTTATTCAGATTAATGTTATAAATTGTTATAATACACAATAACTGTAGTAATGATTGTAGCCTATTTGATATTAATGTCCTGCTGGGAAAACAAAACAAAACACCAAAACCAGTTTAGACTGGTTGGCAGGTCTTAACTGGTTAAAGCTGTTCTCCACGACTAGCCAAGCTGGTGTTCAGCTGGTTTTAGCTGGTCTCCCATCTTGACCAGCCTGGTCTGCTAAAATAGAGTCCAAAACCCCTCTAAATACCAGCCAACCAGTTTATAAGCTGGTAAAATAAATGCTCCACATAGCCTAAATGCTGGATTTAGCTGTTTGATTGTTTTTTAGCACGGTTTTAAGCGTCTGTAAACCATTAGCACCATATGGTTGTTGTATAATAGTATATAAAAAAAGACAATTATGCGAATCAAGCAATATTATGAAAAGGCTACTCAATTTATTTGAAATTAAGGCAAGAATAATATGCTTCAAGACAGTTCATTGTAGGTTATACCACTCTACCGTCATTGTACTAAAACATATAAACAAAGTAGCCTAGTAGCAATGCAAAAGAAATCACAGAAAAGAGATTTTAGCTATTTCAAGTTTTGTTTCCATACTCAAAAACATAATTAGTTGACAAGCTAATGGGCAACACTTTCAAAGGGACGAGGATTGGAGTTCACCACTTCAGCCTTCGGGAGTGACAACCTGCAACAAACAGTCCTTATATGTAAATATTTTCAATTTGACTTAAAATCAAATGATGAATTTGGCACGGAATGATACCTCTTTTGTCGCTTGTCTTGCTGCGCTGTCGTGGAAGAGTGAAGTCGAAGCAGAAAGACAATGATTCAGGAGTCTTCAAAACCTCCTCAAGTTTCACCTGTTCCTCATTCTTCTACAGTGAAAAAGTCCATAAAAAAATATAAATACTCCATCAAAAACCACAGAAGGCCTGCTTTGTTGTGAGACGTGAGAATGTGTACATTTGAACTATTTGTAAAAGGAGTTTAGGCTCTTATTTGTGAGTTAGAGCCTTTATTTAATACTTACGTCAGATGGGCTTCGTTGGAGTCTGGATTTGAGTTTAGGTGTGCTTTGACTGTCCTTCTCCTTCTCTTTCTCCCTCTGTTGAAGGATGGCACTGCGAGTGGCTCTGTACTCCAGAGCAAAGTCACTGACGGTCTTACAAAACGCCTCAGCGCTCATTTCCCTTACCGTGGAGCGCGAGTAACCAAGGAAGAGCAGGAACGAGTGGAATCTGTGTGCAAGAACAAATGAATATAATAGACCTAATTTCTTTGCATTGTCTGAGGAATTTTGTGGAATGGATTTAAAAACTATAAGCACTCACTATAGGTAGCTGAAAGCATAATAAATAATATTCGATAAATTTACTTTTTAAGTTGCCAGCCGCCACCACCAGTATAAATTCCTGAACATGCAATATGTCAAACAAAAGAACAGAGTCTCTGCTTTTAAACAAACAAACAAGCAAATAAACAAAAATATGTTTTCTTCTAGATTCATGCATTATTTTGAATATGAGTAACACTTGAATGTGGGTAAGTTTCATAAATAAAAGCAACAGCTGAGAAAATCCTGTTTTTTGTCAACAGACCACATCTGGAACAAACTTTTCATAAACACACTCTAAAAAAATGCTGGGTTGTTTCAACCCATCTTTGGGTCAAATATGGACAAATTCAGTTAAATTAAATGTTTAAATTACATTTTTAACCCAACATTTCAGTTTGTCTATATTTGACCCAAAATTGGGTTAAAACCACCCAGCTTTTATATGAGAGTATGAGAGCATATTTGCATGTAGATCAGTGTAAATGTTTCTATGAAAATGCCATACAGTATTGCTGCTTCTAGAGAGAGAGAGAGATCTAGGCAGGTGGACCTGGGGAGGTGGAGGGGTAGAGAGAGAACTCGCATTGTGTGGAGCGAGTGCATTCGTACAGGTACGGCGAGGTTAAATCGGGAAATAGTAATGATGAATACATGAAATCGATTGGTTCATTACATTTGAACAAACCACACTGTAAAAAATAAACCGTAAATTTTACGGTAAAAAAACGGCAGCTGTGGTTGCCAGAACTTTACCGTTAAAAATACGATAGGAACGTTAATGGTAGTGATGTGTCGTTCATGAACGATTCGTTCATTTTGAACGAATCTTTAATATGACTCGGGACTATCGAGTTGTCTCAGGGAGTGATTCGTTCATGTTGTGTTACCCGCGCATGCGCATTGCGCAACATATGGATTCTGAATCTGTACTGGAAACAGAAATGATTAGTTCATCTCTCGAGTTCGGGTTCGGCGGGTCCGAGTCTATCGTTCTTCCTGTCAGTCCCATTGAGCCTATGCTGTCAGACCACCGGAAAGAGGAATGATTAGTTCATTTGAGTCTTCGGGTTTGAGTCCTTCCCTTCGTTCTTTAGTCACGTGAATTGTCACTTTGAATACCCAAATTCACAAACTTTTTACAAACGAATTCACAAACCTTTTACAAACAAGCACGTAGATGATGTATAATATAATAGTAGTTAATTAATGTACAATATATATAATAAAACACACCACAGATGCATAATATAGAAAAGAGACGGACAGGGACAATAATAAGGAATAAGGAATAATGGAACCTTTGTTTATAATGTTTATTGAACATATTTTGTATTTTAATGCCTATATAACACAATATTCAGACGCAGTCAATAATACGAATCTAATGTTGTATTTGATGCGAGACCCGTGGCCACGTGAGAAAAGAACGACGGACTCAAACCCGAAGACTCAAATGAACTAATCATTCCCCTTTCCGGTACTGAAAGCATAGACTTAATGGGACTGACGGGAAGAACGAAAGACTCGGACCCGCCGAACCCGAACTCGAGAGATGAACTAATCATTTCTCTTTCCGGTGCTGACAGCATAGACTCTATGGGACTGACAGGAAGAACGAAAGACTCGGACCCGGCCGAACCCGAACTCGAGAGATGATGAACTAATCTTTAATCTTTCCGGTCCTGCTATATCGCATGGCACGGCCAGCAGACAGCACAGATCAGAGTCAGACACTGACGAGTCAACAGCTAACGTCTCGAGACATGAGAGGAGGAGAACAAACCTGATAAATATGAAGTTGCAAAGCAAATAACGTCTCGGATCAGGAGGTGAGGTGAACTATAACAGGGTCAGACTGCAATAGCCTGAACTTGAGACGCAGCAAATAGCTAAAGTTACAGTTATTTCAGTTGCTTATTGGCTTTGCTGCATTATTTATATTATTTTTTACAAATGTAATTAAGATTTTCGTAAGTACTAGACGTTTTGGGATATTTAACATGACATTTTAAATATATAATTATGAAATGACCGAAATGAACGAAATGACTCGATAAAAGATTCGTTCATTTTACTGAACGAGACTCAAAGATCCGAATCAGTAAAATGATCCGAACTTCCCATCACTAGTTAATGGTTTTACAGACTTAACTTAAAATTTACAGTAATAAACCGTATGTTGTTTTCTGATAAAATGTTGATTTACCAACTTATTGATATCTGTTTTAGACCATTGTAATACACTGACAACCATTAATCATCACAGCAGTGATGAGAGTTACTTGAGCAATCACAGCTATAAAGAAGCTGCACAGTGTCATTCACACAAACATTAAACACCATCATGGTAACACACATGAAATTAAAAAATGCAATAAACATTAATTTAACAACATTAAATGTAACATAAAACCCTAATGTACATAACTGATTAGAAAAAAAACAATACAACTATGAGGAACTATAGTTATTTCAACAAAAATACATCAAATGTGAAGTGTCACACAGGGAATTGTGGGAATGTCAATTTACGGTTTTTCACTGTAAATTATACAACGATTTGTTCAAAAACTGTAAAGTTAACGGTATTTTACTGTAAAATATCACCGTTATTTACCGTATAAAGTACGGGAACTTTTTAACAGTTTTGCACTGTAGCATTTTTACAGTCTTTTACTGTTAAAATCACGGATATTTTTTACAGTGCAATTCAAATGTGAATAGAGTTTCGAGGCTCAACTATTCATTTGTAGTAAGCAAATGGTTTGACCTGTTGATGACTCTGCGGTGAACTGCTCGTAGCACCTTCAACCTCTCCTCACAGTCTTTCAGAAACTGGCGGAGCCGATGATGGAGACCTGCCTCTTCTCCACCTTCCTCTTTTCTTCCTCCTCCCGTCTTTTTCTTTCCATCCTTCTCAAGAAGTCTTAGTTGATCCCAGGATGCTTTACAAAGGGATTCAAGCTGGGAGAGACTCAGTTGCACTTGTGTGTAGTCACACTAGAGTCCAGTTGTTTATGGGAGGGAGAAATTGAGGCGAGTCGAAATTTATTATTAAAAATGAAAGGGGTCCTTAAATAGACCCTTGGGGAACACCGCATAATTGGGGAACAAACGAAGAAGAAAACTTCCCAAGAGAAGGACATGTGTTCACTTTTTTTAACTGGATATCGTTCAAACATGAGGCTGAAGTAGGATACCATTCAAAAAGATTGTGCATGTTTACTTAGTCCAAACTTTTGACACAACAAAAGCATTATGTAGCCATAGCCAAATGATTGAGAAGCACACGTTTCCCACAATGCAATGTACTGAACTTGACTTCCTTTTTCCAGTGAACGAGGTCATATCATTTCATCATCATCTTCCTGGGTCATTATTTGCAACATTAAAGGCATGTTTAAACAGTTTAAACTCTACTCTGCAATGCACATCCATTCACAAATAATGCACACTATTCTTAGTACCTTGCTGGCTTTTGTGACGGCAGTGATGTCGGAGTAGAGATCAGAGGATTGTGGGTAAAGCTGGAGCAATAACACACACACGTGATGAAGAAGAGGCTGCCGGCCGTGTGTGTCTCTCACCTGAGAGAGTTTGCCCAGGTAACTCAACTCAAAACCCCTCGCCTTTATAAAACAGAAGACACACCGTCATGCAATGTGAAGGAGACAGGTAATCAGGCACACAAGTGTTCTCACCTTACAGCCGTTCAGAAAGTTGCCGATGGCCAGAACAGTCGCAAGTATACAGCGAAACGTCTGATTAGCCGCTAGCTGCTCCATGGCTAGCTTCAGATGGAAGAGTGGCTCTGCGATCTCCTGTTTACACATATTGTGAGCACAAATGAGCAGACATCATAACAGTTATACGCTCTATAGTTGATGCTTTTTATTCATTTCAAACGATAATGGATAATCCCAGCTAACCGTAAAGAACATTTTGCTAACATTCCCATTAAACAATAAAACTGTCGCTATCCCTGAATGATACCAATCAAACCATAACCGAACGATAACCAATCAGATCAACATGTGATCGTCAAGCAATGGATCTCTGAGCTGAGTGAGTGGAGGCGGGGCTAATTTGCATATTCATAGAACCACACATACTAAATGAGGCAAGGGTGTCGAGTTACATTCAAGCTATTTTAAGGCATGAAGACACTTTTCCAAGGAAAGAATGCTTAAATATGTCATTTTGGTGATCAAAGATGAGATTTAAGGGATAAAATGATTGACACTTCGATGAAGGAAAATGGATTAACATTGCCAGCTTATGAATGTGCATCATTGAGTTCCTCTCACTCTCTCCATGTTGTCGTGGTCCAGAGAGAAGGCCCAGATCTGCAGTCTGGCGCTCAGATGAGGAACGGCCCCCAGGGTCAGGAGACACTGCTCTGCGGGGCCCAGAGTCGAGCCCGGGGCCCGAGCCCGAGCCTCCGCGATCACATGCAGCTCCTCTTCAGTGGGAACCAGCATCTGCAACCTCTGAACCAATTCAATCCACAGTTATTTGTATAGCGCTTTTCACAATACACCTCGTTTGAAAGCAAATGCATGTTACAATATAGAGTGATCTATCATCAGATGAAACTCTAAGTTTTGCATTTCAGAAATGTAGGCTACATATCGAAATCATTGCTATCCAAAAGTTTCCTACGCCCCATGAGGCCTTGCGTCAAAAGTGGGCGCGACTTCCGGTTGGAAGTAAACAAAGCGCGACTTGACATGCTTGACACTCGTTCATTCAACAGTTGACAGTCATTCAAGTTATAGCGATCCAAACTAGCTAACGATGTGGGAACACAACCTCAACGAAATTAAAAAGGGTCAAATAACAGTACCTTTAACCTCCGCAGTAGTTGATTGGGAGTATTATAATAACAATATTAATAATCAATTCTCATCAAGGCATGGTGACAGACAGTTGTGTGAGCTGACAAACAATTAAAATAAAAAATACACACTTAGTCATTGTGCTTTGGAGTTTATTCAAAATTATAAATGAGTGTGCTGCTTGAATACATTACTGGCACATTTGGTATTCTGTCAACACAGGCTTTGATCCTGAGTTTAGGTGTAACATCAGTAGCGAACAGCCAATCACATGCTGATAGAGTTTATAGAATATTAGGAATTTAAACAAATGTACACAGGAAGATTCGTCGTCTTTTGGGAGGTGATGGAAACTACAGTCGTTGGCAGGATCACTCTGATTTCGTTTTCAGCTTATGTTCAAAACAATCACGTTTAAGCCACTGAATTAGTTTAGTCCGGTTATACATACAACCGCAAACAGCACATGTTGTCCCTGAGCTCCGTAACGACATCTCTCATAAAGATTTGCGTCTTTAAATAGTAAAATAATTCTCCGAAAAACAGCTAGCCTCTTCGCTAACTAACACACAAAATACCATTGGAACGCTACTTCCGCCGCCTCACCGGAAGTTTCACCCACTTTATTTTTTACTGGAGCGCCCCTCGGAAACTTGTGGATAGCGAAAAATGTTTTAATTTAAACAATGAAATAATTAAAGATAGGAAAAATGATCTTTATTCATTGAAGTAATGAATGCTTGTTTGTTAACAAATGATTATGAAATTTAGAAAAATGTAGCATTGGCGCATGTTTGCATTTGTTGTCAACCACCCAATACTTCTGCTTTCATAGTCGACCACTACATCATATCTATGGTGAATCTTGCAAAATTAGACCGGAATGAATTTATGAAGTTTCATGCTCACCTGGATGTCTTCTCTGTCTAGGACAGTGTTGTCCATGCTGAATATGGCAGGAGGGAGCAGGTGTGCCGGCGGGAGTCCGCTCAGGGCTATAGTGATGATGTTACTGCGCTTCACACTTAACACACACACACACGACTCCTTCTGCTGTGCAAACCAACAGACAGAGAGAGATGTGAAGCAGAAACGCTGAAAAGCTCAATTCGTGGATGCGTGAGGCTGGAGTGCACTACGATAGAGCCCTTTAAGGCCCTTGCAATTCGCGTAAGAAATTTTCGCAAGTAAAAAAATAAATACGACAATGTCAATCACACTTTCACACTGCCTCCGAAACTTCCGTCCATCGTAGATTAAATCGGATCGGGTTTGATTTTCTGCGTTTTTCGCAACCATAGCAAGCAGTGTTAATAGAGCCACCGAATAACGAATACGAAACAACGCATACGGAAGTTTCGGACTCAGTGTGCAAGGGCCTTTAGACTTTGATTCCATAGAGTCGGAGGAGATGGAACATGTTTGATGTTTTGAAACGACTTTAGAACACGCGTTGTTACATTTGTCACGTGTCTCCTAGCAACAAGGTGCACATTTGTTGTTTTCGGAACAACAAATTTTCTTCGTTTTGTGCAGCTTTTTCAACATTTTAGATGCCGGAATATGATCTTTCTGAGATGACGGCACCCCGTTTAACATTCAAAAAGCCAGCTTTTTATTTTCATGCAAAAAGACCAAATTTGTACCTTGAAAATTAAAATTATAAATAAGTGCTTTTTTAAAAAAAAAAAAAACATTTAGTTTCTACACTGTTGCATTATAAAAAATAATATCCACTCAATATTTTACCATTTTGTGAATTTGTATCATTTTACCATTTTTTTTAATTGTTCAATTTTTTAATTTAGTTAATTTAATATTTATTTTTCATTTTTTTACATTTATTTTTACACTATTTTTCTTTACTTTTTTTCTCAACGGCCCCCAATACTTTTAAAAATAAACCTTCCAAAAAGAATACTTTCACAGCCCTTTTTTGATTCCAAAAGAAGCTTTCATTAAGTTCTTAAAAGAACAATATTTTCCCCCATTGTTTTTTAAATATATAAAGAAACATTTTATGGAATGGAATTCGATGGATTTTAAAGGTTCATGAGTCATTAAAGCCAATAAAGAACTTTGATCTAGGAATTATTAGTTGTGTAGTGAATCCCAGCGTTTACCGAAAGATTTACTTTTAGAAGTGTAGTCTTACCCGCCGTCGCTCCATCAGACTGCAGAGGGCGCTGTTGCTGCTGCTTTTGCTCTCAAACAGGTATTCCAGTCGATTGGTGTCGAGATGAACCGGTTCCAGACCGGCCCAGATGGACTGGGGCCCGAAGCGGCCCACCCTCGGCACCGGCTGCAGACTCGCCAGTGCCCTCCAGTGGAGCCTCAGCGTACGAGCGCCTGACGGACCCGGCGACCCACTGGATACAGGAAGAGGAGGAGCCGAGGGGGGAGGAGGCGGGGCCAAAGGGGGAGGGGGCGGAGGCACGGAGGACGCTGCAATCTGATTGTCTTCATCAATGCTGTCCAGCTCAAGATCCTCGTCATCCCATAGGTCGGAGAAGTCGAGGGCATTAAGGCGGAGCAGGGGGGCGTGTCTTATGAGCGATTCGACGGATTCGGCTTGTCTCATTGGGTCTTCGTTGATGATTTATTTATTTAAAAAAAAACTTAAGGTAAATCAGTATTGTGCAAAATAATGCCTAGGTGGCCAATTCAACACAGTGACCAAATCTCAATATGGCTATCTCACTGGAATGGTTTACCTTGATCCGTGTCCGTTCATGGTTTCATGCAGCTTTGCAAATGATCCTCCGACGTTACAAGAGTTGCCATGTTCTTCAAAGGCAAAGATAATCCATACATCAAACGTGCGTAAATCCCAGTTCAACACTGAGTTTGAGCTTGACGTCTCTGATGGGTCGAATCACGAAATCTGGCAGATCATGTGATGTGTCTTTCAGAAGGCCGAGTGAATCCAGCCGGCGCACGTCAGGTATCCAGGACGGCTCGAATGCTGAGGGCGCTTTTTAGCATGTTCTCCCACAGTTTCAAGCACTCTGTTGCGTTGAGCATGTGTGTGTGAGAGACGTGACACTCCGTCTGTGTCATTATGAGGGGTCGTTTGCACAGTTTATTTGAGTTGCGCCCTTTCCCTTAATTTTCCTATCTCTCCAGCATCTCCTGTTTATATCACAACTTCAGTATCTCTCTGTCTCCACCCTTTCGCTCTCCTTCCCTCTCTTTCATGCTGAGAGACTGCATATGGATTTTGGGTCAATAATCACTATATCTGTTGCTTATACTTGATTAGTTTGGGATCCGAAACAACCGTCTAATTCTAAGTAGCCTATATTGCAAAATATATAATTAGAAAATGTCTTTAGGTTGCTTTACCTGAGTTTTTTTCTTAAAAGTCAAGTAAAAGAACTTGAAGAACTGAAGAACTCAGTTCAAATTGCTTTCAGAACCGAAGCGTGTGTGTGTGTGTGTGTGTGTGGGAGAAAATCACGCAGTGAATCACGCTCCTATAAAAACATTCAAAGACCTTTGCCATTTTTTTTTCTGTTCTCCTGCCATTCTGCAGATAAAATAGCTCTTAAAATATATATATGGTTCAAGGACTCTTAATAACCATTTGGCTTGAAATAGTGAGTTTTTATCAGTTCTAAACAACCCGATCTCACGAGAATTCGTACAAATTTTACGAGGTGGCTAATTCATAACAATTCGTACGACCTCACTCGTACGAATTAGTATATTTTTGCTAAATCGTACATATTTTACGAATTGGCCAATTCGTATGAATTCGAACGAATGACCTACCCCTGACCCCGCCCCTAAACCTACCCATCACGTGGGTTTGGACAAATCGTAGGAATTCCTACGAGTGAGGTCGTAATAGTACGAATTAGCCACTTTTTAATCAGTCGTACGAATTCGTACGAATTGGTCGTGAGATAGCGTAGGTTCTAAAACATTCGTAGCACAGATATAGAGACATTTAAAAAAATAGCTGGGCTGAATTTATTTTTTTTTAACACAGTCTCATCCCAAAAAGTCATATAACTGACGTCTTGGGACGTCTTTTGACCATACGTCAATATCCGCCTTTTTAGGGCCCCCTTAAACGTCGGTAGATGGCGATTCCGGGCCGTCATACAACTGACGCTTTACCTTTAACGTCAGTTAGGTGACGGGTTAGGTTTAGGTCTGGGGTAGAGTTAGGATCCCATAACCTCATCTACCGACGTTTAAGGGGGCCCTAAAAAGGCGAATATTGATGTATGGTCAAAAGACGTCCCAAAACGTCAGTTATATGACGTCTAGGGATGAGACCGGGTTGTTTTTGTACAGCACTTATTTTTTCCTAGTAATCAACATTTGCAGGCCTAATAGTAAATAAATAGCATGCTTTGAATGGCACAAGGGTTAGTTTGTGAAGTGAACACTGTTCAGAATAATGGCGCCTCATGAGGCTCAGTTTCCAGAAGCTGTTTATGTTGTTTGAGATCTCGGGGGAAGTCATTGGTATCACAGGACTTAATGTTGTCCATAATTGAGTTTAATGATGTTTAATTATGAGCTTTGAGAGGGCAGTCCCAGACTCCGGTCCCAAGGGAACGACCTCTGATTAGAATCAGTGAAACATTATTTATATTCATTCTCTTTATGATGTGAAAGAGATGCATGAGTCAGAGAGCCTTAAATAAAGCTATTCATCGGCTATGTCTCATTTTTTTTTCTCTCTCTGTTTTTTTTTCCGCTTTTTTGTCCCTTTAAAAAGCTCCTACACAAATCTTTTCATTCTGTGCATTAGAATCCTGTTGATTCTAGGATTCTTGGTTGAGCTCATTTAGCATAAGAAACAAATTATATGGTAAAACTTTACAATAAGGTTCAATTTATTTAACATTAGTTAGTGTAATTACTAATATGAACTGACAATGAGCAATACATACAGTATTCAACTTTCTTAATATTAGATAATACAAAATACAGCTGTTCATGTTAACAATACAGCCTCTGATTTTAATAATTTATTAAATGTTGAAATTATTATTAACTATAAGATTAATGAATGCTGCTGAAGTTTTGCTCATTCTTAGTTCATGTTAACTAATACACCTTGTAAAGTGTCATCTACATTTCATAGTATTCCTTAGAATTTATATTTATGTTTTAATGTGGTTTTATAATTAGCCTATGTTTTAATGTGGTTTTATATTTAAACTATTTGAAATGTATCTTATCTAATTAAAATTTCTGTTCCTAACTAAAATCTCTGATCCTTGTACTGCCAGTGATGGAGCTGTGTAAGCTGTGATCGTCATTTCATTGGCTCCTCGTAACGCCTACGTCATCTCTCAACGTCGGGAGCGCGCACGTTCCTTTGCCCTGCTCCGGAATGTTATTTATGGCAGGCGCGTTCCCGTGGACCGCACCGTTATTATTCGACGAGCGACTGACATCGAAACTACAATGTCAAACATTTTAAAGACTCTGAGCGCTTCCGTGTTCACGCGCGCAGGGAATAAGGACCCATCCTGATTTGTTAATATTATTATTATACCGCAACATCTCCCAGCGATCAAATGATATTTCTGGACGCAAAAGATTTAGAGATCAGGATGTATCATCTTTCAGATAAGGTAAGTGACGAGCGAGCGCTTACGAACTTCACTGTTGCGCTGATAACGAAAATTTTAACGCGATTGTTACATTATCGCTTTCATATGAAACTCGTAGTTTTTTGTTTGTTTCTTGTGTTTATAATTACTTTAAATGGTTGACGTCAACTACAGCTATGAAGCGGAGGTGTTGCGTAATGTTATTTAAAGTGTTCAAGAAAGACGATACGAAGAAAATGCGTTAAAAAAAACTGAGCGAACGAAGGAAATATGCGCGCCTGTTTTTATTACGTAATGAGCGCGCGGGACAGATGCGCGTGGGATTGAGATTCATCTAGGCTTTCTTATAAGCGCAGTTCCCTGGGAAAATGAATCGAAGAGAAAGAAAACTGTATAAAAATGAGGTTATGCATTTCGTAACATGAGCAACCTGGTTTCAGTTTCAGACAGCTGCGTGAAACTGATGGTGCAACCACTTCAAAACATCACTGTCACTGCTGCTGACATCATGCAATAATGTCTCTATTAGAAACTTTGAAATGTAAAGGTATCAATAACTGCATATGCTAAAATTAGCCTACTGGACACTAAAGCATGGGTAACACTTTTATAATAAGGTTTGTTACATCGAGCAATACATTTGTTACATTATTTATTAATCTTTGTTAATGTTAGTTCATATAAATCCAGCTGTTCATTATGTTAGTTCACAGTGCATCAACTAATGTTAACTAATACAACCTTTGATTTTAATAATGTTTTAGAAAATGTTCGAAATTAATATTAATGCATGTTATAATGCTGACAGATTCATGTGGTTCGATGAGTGTCTAAAAGTCATCATATATGTGTGATTATTTTAGTAGAGATCATTTGCATTGAGCCTGCTGGTATACTGGTGATGCATGTGTGTGTTTCAGTGGTTCTGTCTTTATTTATCCCTCGCTCGCCCGGTGTAGGTGGAAGTGTGAGAGAGAGAGAGAGTGAGTCAGGGAGAGATGATGGAGGTGATCAGAAGAAAAGACTCGAACGGCCTGTTTTCAGACAACTCAGACAACGACTGTGAGGTATGTGTGTGTGTGTGTGTGTGTGTGTGAGAGTGCCATGATGTGAAACACATGTTTGATTGGTCTCTTTGCAGGACATGGGGGCGTGTGGACAGAGTACAAGTGTGTGTTTGTGTGAAAATACACCCTTCTGCGATCAGCACACACAGGAGGTAAGTGTCTATCGATGACTGATGTGACTCTCTCTCACACACACCACACACACACACACACACACATATATATTTTTACTTATTAAATCAGGCTTACATAATACAGATATACATTTTCTGTCCAGGCAATGTTATATAACAAGACGAGCTTCTATTCTTCTTTTAAATCTCTTACAATACTCGATTTAGAGGAAGACGAAGCAAAGCCAATCATGGCACAATAATCATGTGACCGCTGACTATAAGCTCAATTGGAGCTAAATGATGATATTATTGCCTTCTCGAGCTGCTTTACAGCCGAACAACCACGGTTGCGTTTCCATAATTGAAATTGAATAAAGCACTACAGAAATAAGTGCCTTGACTTGATATAAGGCACTTGAAGACTCACAAAAATACGACATTAAAAAGTAAAAAAAAAAAAAAAAATTGTTGAATCAGATTGTTTCCGAAGTCCCTGGAGGGTCCGACTGTAATATTCAGTAATGGCGCAGGAATAATGTCTCAGAAAGCAGCCAGTAACTTCAAAAGAACCTTAAATTACCTGTTTAAAGGCACAATATGTACGTTTTTTTCGCCACAAGAGGGCGCAGTTTCCAACAATAACACAGGCGTAGGTTGATGACGCAGTGATGAGCTGAATGATGAGACTGATGGATCTAATAATGTTTATGGATGAGTGTATCCATGTTTTTTTAACATTACAGTGGTGTAAAGCAGGTCGTGATTACTAAAGAGACAGATATCCATTTATCCACGTCACTCTTAGAAGAAAAGGTTCTATATAGAACCTTAAAAGGTTCTAAAGCGCTACGTATTTGGAACCCCTAAAATGCAATGCACGTGAATGATCACAAAATTCAAGATATGGTGGTTAAAAAATGTCATTAATCAATATCACACGAAGAGTGCCATTACAGTTTTTCTCCTGCAAAAATCTGCATGATTAATTAAGTTACTACAACAGTTTAATAAACAATAATTTAATAACAACTACAAAATGTTGCAGAATAATGTAATATATGAATGAATAATAGCCTTTTTGTGCCAAAAGTGTTCTTTCTTGTCATTATTGAACCTTTTTTTTAGCATAAAATGTCCTTTGGAGTTGAGTAAAGAACCCTACACTCTTAGAAGAAAAGGTTCTATATAGAACCTTAAAAGGTTCTATCAGCGCTATGTATTTGGAACCCCTAAAAGGTTCTATACACTCTTAAAAAAGTGTGTAAGACTTGGCCAATAGAACCTTTTACCAAAAAAAAATGGTTCTATATAGAACCATTTTGGAGTTCCATATATGAAGCGGGGGATGGTTCTAAATAGAACCATTTCTTCTAAGAGTGTATGCTACATATATAGAACCCTTTTTTCTAAGAGTAAATCTGTGGGATTTTTTCAGTAATTTTATAAACCACCATTTTATCATCCGTTAAATGAAAGTAAAAGATGTCTCGTCTCTCTGCAGGACTCCCGTGTGAAGTGTGTCCAGTGCGGGAAGAACAGACCCATGATCACCAGATACTCCGAGGGTTACGGCACAGAGGTGAGCATCTGCACCAAAGACTGTAAACAAATCTGGATTGTAAATAATAGTGTCCGTTTTTGAAGACCAAAGTGGGCGGAGCCGGCTGTCGTCAGTTTATCACTCACGGATGAACGGAAATGTGCAGCAAGGCGGATTAGTCGAGGTGACGTGACGCTAACAGACAGCAGACAAACGGCTAGTAGTGACATCAGCGGCAATACACCTGTCACTCAAGTGGCCCCGCCCTTAATTATGCAGGGCTTTCATCCTCTCCTCAGGTTTTTTGACCAGAAATGCACGCTTTTAATTTGATTTTTTTTTTTTTTTTTTTAAATTGAGTGTTCATCAGGACTTTTGTCGCACTTTAACCACGAATAAACACAATTTTTTATTTGTATGGATTCGAGGAGTTTACAAAAGTAAAAAAATCCTTTTTCCGGGTCAATTTGACCCCCATAGGAATGAGTGGAGTGAGAGGAATGCGTCAGTACACATAGAAAAAACTAAAAATGCTAAAACTTTACAAAAAAATATATTTTATAATGTCTACAAGTGTATCTGAATGCATATTGCATACTAAAGAAGAGATTTAAAAGCTCATCTGCTCCATATTATAGATATCAAGAGTTATGAAATATAACTTTTCAGGTCGCAATGACACCCAACGTAAGATATTTAGAGCTGATTTAAAAGGGTTATGCATGACATTGTTATTTTGTGTTTAAGTTGGAAGAATGTGAGGAATGTGCTTAAATTACTATTTATTTATTATTTATTGATCAAATCTATTCATTTAAAGGTAAAAAAAAAATCCCCCCAAAATGCATTACAAATAGAAAAAAAAAATGTATCAAAATGAAATAAAATAAACTTTCTCAAAAAAAAAAGGATAATTTTCCGTATGGGAAAGATTTTTCACAAAGTGTGAGGGAAGGATGAAGTTTAAGGCTTAATGAGTTATTTTTAAAAAACACAGTCGTCATGAAGGGCAAAATTAGAGCAAAACCACTTTTTGCACCAGACTGAGAACATGTTTCTTTCTGCTGTAAAGTTGACTCTCTTCTGCAGCCGGTCTCTAGTGGCCAGTGGAAGAACTGCAGTTTAACTCACCTCCATATTGGATTCAAGAGAGAGACGGGAATGAGTGCGTGTGTGTGTTTCAGTGTGTGACTCATGTTTCAGGAGGAGTGTTTCCAGTCTCATCCTCAGGGAGACAGTGATGCAGATGCAGACATCGAGGACACGGACAGCAGGTGTGTGACCAACACACACACACATGCACTAAACTGCATCCTCTTCTACAACTCTTTCTCTGCATTGTGATTGGTTCAGGCTCCAGATTGCGGGTTCCCTCCAGCGAATCAGCTCCCGGAAGAGGAAGCGTCAGCGACTTACGCGTCAGGACACGACGGAGAGCGAAGACGACGGTGGGCGGAGCCACAGGACTCACCGCTGGAGTCTCCGCCTCAGTCCTCATCGCTCACACAACAGGACCATACTGGAGGTCTTTACTCTTTACTATATGGTTCATTAGTTAACATTAGTTCATGTGTTTACCAACAATGAGCAAAACATTTGTTACAGTATTTATTAATCTTAGTTAATGTTAGGTAATAAAAGTACTGCGCACTAACTAATTTTAAAAAATACAACCTTTGGTTTTAATAATGTATTTGTAAATGTTGAAATTAATATTAACTAAGATTAAGTTACAGTATTTTAGTGGTATTGTTCATTCGTAGGTCTTGTTAACTAAGGTAATGAACCTTTTTGGAAAGTTTTACCGAAATTACTTACATTTGTAATTTTGTTCAAGAAGTACAATCAAAATAATAATTTATACAAAAAATTAATAATAAATAATAATAATAATTAAAAAATAATATATATATACTGTATATATATATATATATATATATATTACTATGTAAACTAAAAACATTTTTTATTTTATTTTCATGTAACTTTTTAATATGCATATAAAATAATAGTATAATAATAAATAATAATAAATTATTTATATATATATATATATATATATATATATATGGTATCAATATATTATAGTTTATTATTTGTATTTACATTTTCAGTTTTATATTTTTATAATTGTGTTCGAGAAGTACAATCAAAATAATAAATTTTTTTACTATGTAAACTAAAGACATTTTTTATTTTCATTTACCATTTTAATATGCATAGAAAATAATAGAATAATAATAATAAACCAATAAATTATATGTATATATATATATATATATGAAGAGTTCAGATGCAAAAGCCTCTAAATGCCATTTGAAATTTTCATCTTTAATGATGATTTTTATCAAACTTGTATATTTAAGTTCAGTAATTTCACTTAAATAACAATTAATAGGTAATTATCATTGCCATTCAAGTGAAATTACTGAACTTAAATATACAAGTTTGATAAAAATCATCATTAAAGAAGAAAATTTCAAATGGCATTTAGAGGCTTTTGCATCTGAACTCTTCATATATATATATAGTATCAATATATTATAGTTTTCAGTTTTATATTTTCTTTTTATATTTGTTATTCTTTAATATATTTTTTATATTTTTATTATTTTCAGTTTTATATTTTCCGTTTTCTTTTTAATTTTTTAAATTAAATTTTCATTGTTATTATGTCTCAAATATATTTTTAAAATACAAATTTAATATACTTTGTATCAGTGTTTTAAATATAGTTTTCATTTATATATATATATATATTAAGCAAATTTAGGAATTTAAGTTAAACTAAAATGTTGCCTTGTGAACTAGATGACATGTATTTTAATAGATTAACTAATGCACTAAAGTAAAACAATTTTATACAATTAAAACATCACATATAGACTAATATTAATGAAGTATTTGAAGCAACCCGATTGAGAGCAGGTTCCTCTTGACCCGCAGGAGAGCGTGTCTCAGGTGCGTCCGCTGGTCATCTGTCGCTGTGCCGCGCGAGACTCTCAATCCGTGACGGATGACAAACCCGCCGGGGGGAAGTGGCTCCTCACAGCGTTCCCCGTCCCACTGTCCCCGCCGGTGTCCTGCTATCTGATCATCATCCCTCTGTCCGTATCTATTATCATCGTTCTCATGTCACTCCTCTTACTGCTCACAGACACCTGACCTCGCCTCATAAAACCACTGTATGAAGCACTTCATTTCTCTCTGTACAGTAATATTACATCATGCACTTTCAATCAAGACATTTTTTTCATAACTCTTTTGTACAGTGTTACCCATTTCTGCCAGAGAAGAAAAAAAAAATGCTTTGGTATAATAAAATGACATCCAAGTCATAATTATAACAAAAAAGTAAATTATAAGACAAGTCAAAATGATTAAATGATTAAACCCAAAACTTTTCATAATTATGAGATAAAAAGTAAAAAGTGTGGCATACTAAGTCAAAATAATGGCATAGAACATAAAAACAAAGTCAAAAAGTCATAATTATGGATTAAAAGTTATAATCATGACAAAAAGTCAATTATGTGCTAAAAAAAATCTAAATTATGACACACTAAGTGAAATTTCTTTCATAATTATTATGAGAAAATTACAAAATCATGACAAACTAAGTTATAATAAAAATGTTGTCATAATGAGATACAAAGTACATTTACTTGTTACATTTCAAAATACATTTTTTATCATAATAATACGTATGTCACATTTTCAACTTTTGTTTTCATAATTTGGACATTTTATTTTTTAAGCATGAGTTTTCTGTTTATGGTGGAAATAAGCTTCCATAGTTATCCATAGTAATTCATTTGACAAAAAGCACATGACGTGAGTGTGAAATTACAGCGATAATGTAATTAAGCGAAAGCACTGTGTCAAAGCATCCAGTCAAAAACCAGTTTCCACACGTAATCTTGTTTAAGTATAAAGTTGTACTTTTTTAAACAAACGAATGACTGTAATTGTGGCTAATTACATTTCACATTGAAATTTCATTGGCTTTAAATAATAACAATAATAATAAAAATCACCGGAACTCAAATTGATGGACGCACTTTAGTAAGATGAGAACACACACATAAATATAGGCCTATATTTTTAATATAATACAAAAGATGTAAGTTATGACAGTGTACTCTGCTCTTTGAAATGTTTAATTTGATGTTGTAAAGTGGGCGTTTAGTGAGTTTGGGGATGTTTTTTGACCCAGACGAGGAGGATGAAGGCCATGAAGAGCAACATCTATCCTCATCTGCTATTAGCCAAGACCTTTAGTACATTAACCAGCATCAGATTACTTAAGGACGATTTTAGAAAAGCTGCATCACCAATAACAGCATCTGAGGGCATTTTACGGTCAGAACAAATTTTTTACAATTTTTTAAAATTGTGCACAACATTTATGAGGACAACTGCTTCTTGATGAAGTAAATCACTCTCTCAGTGCCATCAGTAATAGAGCTGTTATCTAATTCTTCATGTGTGGGAGAGAAGCCAAAGGCCCACCACCACATGTGGGCTGAATCTATGCAAGCGTCAATCGTTTTACAAACTCTTTTTTTTTGTGTGTGTAAATATGCTCTTAAGAGTTTCAGCTCCTCTCACTTACTCTTTATTTCATCTGTTCCCGATTCTTCACTTGTGTTCATGGATTCGTTCCTCTGTGTAAAGGGGCTGTTGTTGCTTTACCGCAGTTTACCGAGTCTGTCAAATTAGTTCAGACAAGCCTTTCCCATAATCCCTCTGCATTAGCTCATTATCTGAACGTGAACGTTCACAGTTCCCTTTCGAGGGAACTCGAACTGCGTCGAATGACACTTTGGGGAAACACCTCTCTGAAACATGAATAAAACTAGACCAATCCTGATTGGTGTTGCATCATGACGTAATGTGTGACGGCATAAGCGGAAGCTACAAAGAGACGCCGGTGTGGTGAAGAGATGAGTCCCACCTTAGGACCCCATAGTATGCCAGTAGTATGCCTGATCTAAATATGTTCTCACGATAACTTGATAAAAGCAGTTTGTTGCCATCAAGTAATATGTTTATTTGTTTAGCGCTTTTCATAGTAGGTTGCGTCAAGTCCGCGAAATTTAAAAAAAATACTGTTATTGTGTCATGAAATGTAATTTTAAGAGTTTTTAAGTCGAGAATAAAGTTGTTTAAAGCTCAAATCTGTGGTTTATTTATAAATATTGCGCCTTTTTAAAACATTGTTCTGACGTTTTCGGAGTTTCGCAGCACATCTAACTAGCCCGCCTGGAACAGCCTTAACTCGGCTAGTCATTCTGACGTTTGCCGCGGATAAATGCTATGCTACTATGTAAGCTAACTAAAAAACAATAAGAACGAGAAATGTTTAAATTTACAATCTACAGCTTCGGTTATATACTAGTATATTAAACGTATAAGTTAAAATACATTAATGACTCCTTATAACGTACTTCAAACGTCTCTTATAATAAACTGGTTTTCTCTAATTTGTAACCAGGCACTAAAGCGTTTACCCATAAAACTAGCTTTGAACCAATCGGATCGCTTGGGTCCTAAGGTGGGAATCTCTTCACCAAACCGGCACACAACAGTGTTAGCTTTCTGTTCTTCAGCAAAGCACTCTGTCTGACTTCTCTGTCTTATTTGGTGTTGTTGTCACAAAGCCTATCCTATATATTATTTTGATATAGCTTGCATTGGAACAAACACTATGTATACAAACATACTATGTATACATAAATACTATGTATTTAATACATGAGCAGCTTATTTGATGTGATGAAATGTTGTCATTACAGACACTATTTTATATAGCGATTAGAACAAATCTCAGTAGGCTATAACAATATAGTTTGGATGTGTTCATGTAAAAATAACGTTTACTAATGTAGGAGCGAGAGTGTATGAAAGAGCGTGCGCGGCTGTGCCATTAATTCATTCATTCATTCACACACAGACACGCAATTCATATTTAATCAGGATTGGTCTAGTTTTATTCATGCTTCAGAGGGGCGTTTCCCCCAAAGTGTCGTTCAACGCAGTCCTCATTCCCTTTCTCAGGGAACAATGGTTACAGTCGTAACCCGAGACGTTTCCTCTCAGCTTGTTTATAATTCACAACCAGTGTGCATCTGCACCTCATTCCAGCTTATTCTAGATCTCACATTTATTCATATTTGCTTACTGTATATATATTTTTTGTAATATATGTATATTTTCCCTGTGAAAATGGTATTTGTAAATTGAGTCTGTGTTTGGATTTTAAGAGAAATAAAAGTATAGTTTGACAGCAAGTCTTGAGCATTGTATTTTCACAATTAACAAATACTATTGTTATTTCTGCGGCATATTATGGTTGTTTTCTTTCTCCTCTTTCTTTCATTCTTATAGAATTGAATACTGTTGAGAGGTTATGTAGAAGCGCACATTGACATGCTGTTTCATAGAATGGCCACAGGGTGGCAGTAACCACCATTAGCATCATTCTGGGACCCTTAGCATTGCACAGAGCAAAGTGAACTCATAATTCGATTTCCAATGAATGGAGAATGAGCAACTGTTGTCCTGTGTCACTATTTCCAATATTTCCAGTTACACACCTTTTATGTGACTACAGATGTTTATAAGCTAATATGAATCCCCTGTAATGTGTGGTCTGTAAGCTAAAAGTATGTCAAGTGTGTAGTACCGCAGAGCGTGCTTCCGAACCCGAGACTGAGGCAATGGATCTAACAGGTAAGGGTTGAGATAGGGCCCGTCTCATACCCCACTGTTAGATCCATCTACGATCGTCACGAATGACGCCGCATTTGAAATTTATGTTTGTGATTTATTTTGTTGGTTACAGCATAACTGAGATTCTGCATAAATATCCAGAATGTTAGATATAACATATAAATAATTAAAAAAATCTTTCCTTTAGGCACACACAGACCTCAAGATTCAGTCAATGCTTTTCAACCATGTTGACGAGCAGAATATTCAAGTATTACATAGACAATTCAGATCATAATTTATTCATACCGCAATGCATGATGGGAGCCATTAATGAGTTGTGATTGGTGGCAACACGGATAATTATTGTCACCATGGTTGAGATACATATGCTGATTATTGATGTCTGTGTTTCTAAATAAAGATGAAAGTGATTTGATCAGAACAATGTTTTGGATTATAAGAAAAATGTGGATTATCATATGCTGTGGAACCACTAAATTGTTGCTAACAAGTTAAACCAAATCATCTGAATAAGGCTTCAATTTCCAGACTCTTTTGGTCACTAAAAGAGGCATTTATGCATTGCTAGAGTCTTGGCATGAGCAAATTCTCTCTGTCTGTCTCTCCGTGTTCTCTTGGCATCTCCGGCAGGATTCCAATCCAAGGCTGAAAGTGACATTTGCTCCTCGAGTTTCCATCTGCTGTCTCGCACATTCACGATTTCCTTACATGGACAGACAAAAGAGATGGAGAAGCCTTGTGATCCGGACTATGTGTGTGTGAGTGTGAATTAGAAGAATGTAGCCAGGCTATATTATAGCAGTATACATTATTATTACCATTATTATTATTGTTAATGCAGAAATGCTAAATCTACATAAAAAAATAAGTAAATCTATAAAATGTTTTATGGTTTAAAGTTGTAGTTAAAGCATTTTTTTAAAGAAAAATATTAACCTTCAAGTCTATTAATTGCTTGTTTACACCTGACTTTAGCTCCTTGACCCAGATAGCATTCCCAGGCTGTAGAGGAGAAACATGATTCTGCTGACTCGATCACGATCTAAGCCATCACATGCTCCCAGAATCTTCTCCAAAGTTTCCTATGGCCCAGAATAGGGGGCAGAGGTGTCCTTATGGTTAGGGTTAAACTGGTAACCCAAAGATTGCAAGTTTGTTTCTTAAAAGGGTTAGTTCACCCAAAAATGATATTGATGTCATTAATGAGCTCGTTAGATGCTCGTTCATCTCCAGAACACAGTTTAAGATATTTTAGATTCAGTCCGAGAGTTTTCTGTATGTATGTACGGTATACTGTCCTTGTCCAGAAAGGAAATAAAGACATCATCAAAGTAGTCCATGTGACATCAGTGGGTTAGTTACAATGTTTTGAAGCATCGAAAAAACATTTTGGTCCAAAAATAACAAAAACTACAATTTTTATCTTTATCTGGTGCGTCTGTGTATTTGGACCAAATATAAAGCAAATAACATCAGTTTAAAAGAGCTTTAAAATGGTAAAAAAGACAATGAAGGACAACACTTTTTTTTTTTACTATTAAACATGTTCCAATTCATGTCACATAATATAACTGAGCCAGAACACCGCAGTCACATAGTGTTCTCCCGCAGGCTAGGTCACAGAGTTGCTCTTTTATAATCATCCCAGTGCAGTATTTAGTTGCGGAAAGGATCAGCGCAAAAGGTAATTTATTTGTAGATGTTTTAGATGTAATGTGTCTGAGAACTGCATATTAAGATCACAATAAAGCAAGCTTAACTTTTATTAAACTATTATTTTAGATTTGGAAGACATTCTTTGCCATGATGTTCTTTAAAGTTAAAGTTGACACACAATGGTGTTTACAACCTGTTATCAAATCGAGTGGTACATCTGAAAAGTAAGAGGAATTGGGGACATTATCTGAAAAGGAATGGAGAAACGTGTGATTGCATTAGATGGCTTGTGATGAGATCTTCTTAAATGCTAGTGGTAAAAATAGCATTATGATGATAACAGTGTGAGCTCTTGAGACACAGATCTTTTTGCATACCTTGCAACAGCATACGATCCCACATCAACAGAGGGATTCAAGAGAAGTTAAGCAACAGATTTGATGCAACTTATTCTGTTCTTTTTTTCTCTTTTTTCTCTTTTTTTTTAAGGTGCAAGGATATTTTTGGCTTTTTGACACAATGGCAATGGATCTCTGTCTTCAGAGAAAGTGGAGAAGTTCATGGAGAACAGACAGAGAGGATGAGAACACGAATTTTGGATGGATAGATGTGAGCGAAGAACAGGAAGACCCTGAGAATCCAGTTGCGGAACATGAGCGGTCGGAAGACGAGGAGCGGAAAGTGCAAGCGTATGAAAGTGAGGAGGCTGTTGATGACTGTGATTGACGTAGTTTTAATTTTCCTTTTATGCATGCAAACGGAGACAGTGACGTTGTTATGTGTACCAACAATGATAAGGCAGGCGATGAAGAGTATGCCAATAAATATTACAACGACTGTAATATAGAGAATGCTGATAAATATGACAAAAAATAAAATAAATAAAAATAATGATAAAGAATAGCTTGTTTTCAGTCATGTGATTATGATGACGCGTGGAATTCAGATGGAGGGCAGGGAGTGAAGAGCGCAATGGACGAGATGGAGGAAAGTCCGTACGTACTACTTTACACGCTATTACAAGAGAAAGAAATAAACAAAAAATCAAACATATGTTGGACGTGATCCTTACGTTATGAAGAAGAGCAATTTTGCAACCGAATTGAAATATATTTTCCAGCAATCGAGGCGGTAGATATCAGCAAATACCTCGTCTTACAGAAATACTTTGACTTTACAAAGTTCGGAAACGTTACACGTTACACAAACAGTCACTTATATTGTATTAACTCACTTTTGACGAAGTGATCACTAACGTTACACACACAGGTATTTTCCCATTCGGCTTCTCCCGAGCCGTTTATCGATCATTTTCTTGCATTTCCCCCCTTATGAACAACAACTTAACGATAAAAACTCCTTGTGGTTTGATCAATTCAAGTAACCATAAATGACTCAAAACACAGGCATTTTGAGTTTGTTATAATGCTTTCTAAATACAGCAAATCACTTCCTGCCCTCCATTTGTATTTCGCGCCATGGCAACGCAGTGGTTTGACGTCATATGAAAACAAGCTATATAGTAACAGTTACCGTCTTAGTTCTACAAATGGTCTTAGTTCTACACTAGGTGCTCTAGCAACAGATGTTAGAGGCTGTAGTCTTTAGCCTCCTTGTTAGAGTGCCTGACTCTCATGCCGGAGACGCGGGTTCGAGGCCCGCTCGGAGTGGGTCGAGTGGGACCCGGGTGTAGGGGTTACATTGGTGCCATGACCCGGATGAGAGTGAGGTTTGGGGGGTGAGTGTAACGGAGGCCAGCTAGTAGTTGCTGTGCGAGTAAACCTCACTCCCCTGGTCTCAATAGGCGCTCTAGCAACAGATGCTAGAGGCTGCAGTCTGGAGTGCCTGACTCTCATGCCGGAGACCCGGGTTCGAGGCCCGCTCTGAGCGGGTCGAGTGGGACCCAGGTGTAGGGGTTACACATATAGACAAAGGCACTGATAAAGCTCACGATAAATATGATGATGACGATGATGGTAACTCTTTTGCAGCTGCCTCCGTCAGCACCGATGACATTGGAGATTCTGAAAAATACTCAACTTTTAGAGGTTTAACATTTAGAGACGAAGAGCACCAGATGACAGACTCGTCAGATGAATATGATGGACATTGCAGTTTTGAAGATTGTGACGATTGCGACATGAAGCTATACTCCGATCCAGCGAACCCACGTGCGATCTTCGCGGCTCTGGAGAACATGATGTTGAATTTTGTCCTCTACGACTTGACCATCTGCACTGAGGACGGACATCAACTCCAGGTGCATTCTATTGTCCTGGCTGCGGTCAGCAACCTTATTCAGAAGAGGCTCAGACAGAAGCCCAAACAAGAACGGATTATCACATTGCGTTTGGGGCCTGAGGTTCATGGTTCGGGGTTGGCAGCAGTGGTGGCGTTTGCCTATACGGGGAACATCAGCATTCTGAACAAAGCACATATGGAGTTGGTCAGGACTGCAGCTGTTAGCCTGGAAGCTCCAAGAGTTCTGGAGCTCTGCACAGAGGAGGAACAAAGAGAACAGGACGAGTCAAGCGGGAAGAAACCTGCTGAGGAACATATGAATGATAGTCTACAACATATTAGACAGCTGTGGACACAGAGAGTGGGATGTGATGTGGAGCTTGAAGCTGAGGGAAGAGTGTTTCATGGTAAGACATTTGTTTATTATGACAAAGGTTTAAGTTTCCTATGCATGATGCCTTCATGTTGTAGACATTTGCGATTCTGCTCATACACTTGTATTTATTTCCCACCCCCATGAAGCTCACCGGGTGCTCCTGGTTGCCAGCAGTGACTACTTCAGAGGCATGTTTACCAGCGGTATGAAGGAGAGCAGGCAGAAATTGGTGTCTCTGCAGTTAGTCAGGGCTGCCAAGTTTGAGGCCCTCCTCCACCACAGTTACAGTGGGGCTCTTGCTCTCGGATGGGGCTGCGTGTTTGATCTTACCTGTACATCTCTTCAATTACAGTTTCACACTGCCTACTCACTATGCCTAAACTTCCTGGAAAAAGAAATAGATGCTTACAGCTGCCTGGACGTCGTATCTTTCGCAGAGGCCTATGGGATGTCTGACCTTCTTGCACTTGCCAATAACTTTGTCTTGAAGCACTTTCAAGACGTATCCATCACTCCGAAGTTCCACGATCTTCCTGTGGATCAATTTATGAAATACCTTCAAAGTGACTCCCTCAACGTTCTCTCTGAGTTGCCTGTGTTCAAAGCAGTCATGTCTTGGATCGAAGCCTGTCCCAATCAACGGGTGAAACTCGCCACGGAGTTGATGGGGACCATCCGCTTTCCTCTCATGACCTTTAAGGAGTTCAATGAAGTCATGTCTGTAACATCTCTGCCTAGAATTGGTGCCAAACATGTCTATAAGTCTTTCTTTCAGGAGTTCTTCTCCAGTTCCTCAGATGTCCAGTCAAATATCAGGGTCTACATGCCTAAAGACACTATAGTCATTGTTGGGGGTGAGAAGATGACTGATGATTGTGACAAACATACACCCTGCAGGGAAATGTGGTTCAGCAATTCTTTGCAGAACCATGTCGGATTGGTGAAGAAAGTAGAGTGGAAAATGCTGGGAACTTTACCCAAGAAACCAAGATTCAATCATGGAGTTGGGGCGATAAAGGGGAAGCTTTACGTAGTTGGTGGAAGGCATTATTATGGCACAGCTGATACAATGAAATGCACCTACATGTAAGACCAAATATGAGGCTTTTTCTGTCTAACCTTGTCCAAGTTTACCCCCTCATGCTATGGACTACTTGTTCAATCTCTGATCTAGGTATGATCCCATCCAAAACTCCTGGCAAAGGTTGGCTGATATGCATGAGAGAAGAGGCAGCTTCACTCTAGTGGTCCTGAATGATAAACTATATGCTATTGGTGGAGAGAGATACTCGGGGGTCAACATGGAGAGTGTAGAGGTCTACTGCCCCAACACAAATTCTTGGAGGTTAGTACAGTAAATAAATAGCACACACAACATCAGCTGTTGGTCTTGAAACATATCTAGCAAGTAATCACAGACCAAACACAACTGCAAACCCTAACCCATGTCTGAATGTTGTTCAAGACCGAAACCCCAGATAATACCCTTACCTTAATATTTGATTTGTTTACGGATAAGGGTAGGCACCATATTTAACTTTTACCAAGTTTGAGATGTACTGGTCTCTTTTTCCAGAGGTTTGTGTCATCAGGAATTGACTGACAGCCAGGTCAATAACATTACTTATATGTCTTGTATGTATTTTGTGTCTATCCCCCAATGTCCTCATTAAGCGTTTTCCATGATTATTTACTTTACTAATTAACTTTATTTAGAGTAAGAGTTAGGTTGATTTCAGTATCATACAACATATTGCAAATGTTTAGCAAAAGTCAAATTCTTTCTAATACATTTGTCGTAATAGTGAGTGATGTAAACCTGGCCCTTATCTTCTTAATTCTCTACTTCTCCAGTTTTGTCCGCCCATTAGACCAAGCTCTATGCCTTCACGCAGCCAGTGTATGGAATGGCTCAATCTTCCTATCCGGAGGCTTAAACGGTCAGTACCATTGCCAGTCGTCCATGATCCTTTACCACCCAGAACGAGGATCCACTTACCTGGCTGAGATGGGAAATGACAGAGCACTGCACTGCATGGAGACACTTGGTGACCAACTGTACGTGTTTGGTGGGGTTTCAAGCGAAACTGATGGCCATCTGGTAAATCAATTAGGCTGTGAGGTCTATGACCCTGTGGCCAACTCCTGGAGTGCCATTATGCCATTCCCAGTGCCTCATGTTGGGTCAGCATCAGCTGTCTTAGAGGGGAAGGTCTACGTAATTGGAGGCTACTGCTATGATAGCTACAAGGATGTCAAATTTGTGCACCGCTATGATCCTGCAACAGCACAATGGGAGAACATGAGCACGACACCAGGCCAGAACTCATACACGGCGGCCTGTGTGCTGCCCATACCTATTCACCTTAGAAAGTAAGAGGAGAATATCCTGAATATAATAAATTGTCAACACACTTGGGCTGCACAATATATATTGTTTTAGCATCAATATCGCGATGTGCGCATCCAACAAACAACAAAACAGAAAATTACTTTTGTAGCTTTAACATAAATTGAATTAATTATATTAATTATATTTAATTTAAACAGTGAAGACTATGCAGTGTTATTTTACATTTTATTATTCAATTTATGTACCTAAAGACGGTTAGAGTAACCCAAAAAAAACATAAATCATTGCTTATTTTTAATTTGTATCTTTGCTCTATTATATTTTTCTATGCTTGTAATTTGTTTATTATTTTCTATGCAGATGCACTCCCCTACACAATCAACCAACCCAATTATCCTTGGATGATTAATTATTTACAAATAGAGCTATTAAAATCATCTGGTGACATTTTTTCATATTGCAATATTTATCGCGGAAAAACTAAAAAAATGTCGCCCAGCCCTACAATACACACAGCAAGGCAATGGTTGAGTATTAACTCTTTCCCGCCCTCCCCCGAATTTTCCATAATTTATAAGACAACGCTTCAAGTTGAAACATTTTGAACAGAAACGCTTATTTGAAAATAACATTAACCAGTTAATAACGTTATTTTATCGTTCTTTTTAAGATTTGAATTCTACGGAGGCGTATTGCATTCACATGAAGAAAAAAAATCTACTCTGTTTTTCTGAATTAATGAGTTAATTTTTCATGAGAAAAAAAAATTGCTCTGTTTTTCTGAATTAATGAGTTAATTTTTCATGAGAAAATTTTTTTTTCTCTGTTTTTCTGAATTAATGAGTGAATTTTTCATGAGAATTTTTTTTTGCTCTGTTTTTCTGAATTAACGAGTTAATTTTTCATGAGAAAAAAGTTTTTCTCTGTTTTTCTGAATTAATGAGTTAATTTTTCATGAGAAAATATTTTTTTCTCTGTTTTTCTGAATTAATGAGTTAATTTTTCGTGAGAAAAAAAGTTTTTGCTCTGTTTTTTTCTGAATTAACTCGTTAATTCAGAAAAACAGAGCAAAAAAAAAATTCCATGAAAAATTAACTCGTTAATTCAGAAAAACAGAGCAAAAAAAAAATCCATGAAAAATTAACTCATTAATTCAGAAAAATAGAGCAAAATATTTTTTTTCTCATGAAAAATTAACTCATTAATTCAGAAAAACAGAGCAAAAAAAAAAAAAATTCCATGAAAAATTAACTCGTTAATTCAGAAAAACAGAGCAAAAACTTTTTTCTCATGAAAAATTAACTCATTAATTCAGAAAAACAGAGCAATTTTTTTTCTCATGAAAAATTAACTCGTTAATTCAGAAAAACAGAGTCGATTTTTTTGTTCTTCAAGTGAATGCAATACGCCTCTGTAGAATTCAGCAGTCAACCAATCATGAATTCAAATTGTAGCAAATCTGACTTTGACGCATGATCCGACGTGAGTGAAATACCTGCATTCAATTGTCAAATCCTCCTCTGTAAGTCGCAAGGCAGTGTGCTGGCATTAGCTGTTGGAACGCAGGAGTTTATCCAAGGATATATTACCATATCAGGTTGTATACAGCATGGTGTGTTTAGAAACTACCGAAATTGCAGGTTACTAGAGAACAGTTTTTACCGTTGTTTAATATATTTGGGAAAAAGCATGTGTTATAAAAGAGAAGTGTTATGCACAGGCTGTGTGGGCTATGACTAGATTTCCGCTCTGCAAAAATTGAATTTTGAACTTTATTTTGAATAAAGAAAATGTGGTATTGATTAAAATAACCAGTTCTTGATTTACCCTTGCACTGCAAACAAGATGTGTGCAAGACTTAATTCAGGATTGAGGCGGGTGGAGCTACTGTCCATCGAGTTACGAGGTTTAGTCACAAGCTCTGGTATAAAATGTAGGCAATTCATTTGTTTTATTAACCAGTAATTTTTCCTAATTAATCCGTTTTCAGAACGATACTGTTTAAGAAAGAACGCATAAACTGTTAAAATATTATTGATATGTTAAAATACTGATTCTGCTCGGAGTGAACCGATTGTATTTTTTTTAAGCCCTGGATAATGCATTGCTTATACATGTTGTAGTCTTTAAAAACACACAATGTTCTCAGCTTTAGCCAGTTTGCTTCTAGAATAAGCACAAATAAAAGAAAAAATACTTCTTCCTACTGTGTGCATTCAGTTTATTAAGAAGTTTACTCGATATTGTGATATATTACAGTACAATTCAGTATACCGACTTAAATCAAAATCTCAGTGTTTGTTGAGAAGGGATGTCAAAAAAATATTTCTTATTGGATGACAAAGAAAACTTGGCTTAAATAAGCAACATGACATCATGACTTTTGCGTAAACATACACGGCACTTTCGAGTCAAGTGGCGTGTTATCTCTACGCATTTTGAGCTATCCGCGTGTATCCGCGTGTATGCGTGTATGTCTACGCCGTCAAATGTCAGAGCGAAACAAAGCAAATGTAGTTCTACATCTGGGGAGCGATATTTTTTTTTCTAGGATGGTAGGGGAAGACTCATAAATGTTATTAACCCCAGTGACGGGTAGGTTTAGGGTTGAGGTAAGTCATAAATTTATATAACGTTAAGTCAACGGCATTCATAAACACGCTGAAAAGCGATTATGCGTGTTGATAGCACGCCAAAAATGGAAATACGAATTGGCGTGTCATACACACGCTACTTCATGAGATCAGTCTGAAATAAGTGTGTTACAGTCAACATATTCACTCAGAACAGTGTGAGTGGCTGACGTTCTCTGTCTCTTTTGGACAGCGGTGGGACTCCGAATACTCGGGATGCGAGAGTCTACAGGTGAGCAGCTCAGAACAGCATGAGGAGCTGACGTTCTCTGTTTCTTCAAGACACAGGTGGAACCCAGGATGCTCAGGATACAAGGGTCTGCAATCGAGCAGATCAGAACAGCCTGATTGGCTGACGTTCGATCAGAACAGCGTGAATGGCTGACGTCCTTTGGCGGTCTTTGAGGTCGATAACCTCGAGGCGGCGTGAGTAACTGGATTCCTCTCTTCGTACTATATATTCCGATTCAAACGTACGCTGAATGACATTCAAAACAGCGGTTTCTCTCACTCTCTCAGTACCGACTGCCATAGGTATTAAGTTACGCCCTCATCGAAAGGCAGGGCGGGGATATGCAGCTCAATTGCATTTAAGGTGGTATACACCAAAACAGCTCATTTTTAAGCAGGCCCCAAAAATGACATTTTTAAATAGTTATAATAAATTAACTGTGGGGTATTTTGAGCTGAAACTTCACAAATACATTCTGGGGACACCCAAGACCAATATTACATCTTGTAAAAAGGGGCATGATAGGTGCCCTTTAAGAAATAGAGGAACACTTCTTTTTGTCTGTATATCCGAAATAGTAACCTGTTGAATTAAATTCATTCACATTGAAGAAACATGATACAATTTCAGGACTTTTAAACAGTTCTTTTTGACATATTGCTAAATAATTCACTTCATTAAATTATACAGAAGCAGAATCCTGAGGGTAAAGCAGGTAGCCTGTGAAAGTGGAATAGTTGTAACGTCGATCCACGAAGATCCAGCATCTGATCCACAGCTTCACGTGAACCTCCTCTCCAACATCCAGCTCCATCACGGCTCCATTGGACATTTGGTCGTTGCGCTCCCCAGAATTATATTCGTATGAAGACACAAATCGTGCTGTGCCTTTAAAGATGCTCAGACCCATATCATGGGCGGAAAACGCGGAGCCTGAGTACCTGAAGTAATACACACCTTTAACAGGTGCTGTGAAGACTCCTGCAACAGATATTATAGTCACATTTTATCATATAGAATAAAGCAGAGACCAAATCTGGAGCATTAAAAATACATAAAAATACTGCTATACAGAGCAGAACAAAGCAAGGATCTCGAGATTACAAAGTATTGAGTTTGTTTGTTTGTTACTGAATATGCAGTTACCTGTGACAGGGTTGTATGCATCACCAACGTTGGTTAGGACTTTATCAAAGATGAGTCTGGTCTCCATACTAAAAGGCCCCCGGTTTGTACTCGCTGTTGCCGACATGGATGCAGTGAATGCCACTTTTGGACTCTCTGTGTGTGGAGAAGAGTATTTCCACAAGGAAATGTAAGTAAATATTTGTGTTCATGCTAAATGGTGATAACTGCAAAGTTAAAACAATGTCAAGATACTGTATCCAAACCCCCCAAAATTGGAGAATTTACCCTTAACCTGTTTCCACAGGTCCTGAATCAAGATTTTCTGCTCCTCGAGTTCATTTTTAGCCGAGTTCAGATCCGTTCTCAGTCCATCAATCGAGGCTTTAAGCTCCTTCAGCTCAGAGAAGATATTCACCACAGGAGTAATAATATCCGCATCCTGTGGCACGCAGGAACTTATTATCGAGATGAAGAAGATCTGAAATAAAGCCATGATGACCGTTGCTCTGGTGCTAAAGAGAAGAGAAAAGATCTAGCTGTGCTTTTTATTTTTATAGAGCTGCCTTTGGTTAATGATTACGAATTTGGAGTTTTTGGAGTTCGGTCATGACATTTACGGCTTATCTCTGAGGAAAAAAACAGAAACGCAAGTACTCAGATTTGACTAGTCAATACAAAACTTTCTAAAATTGCACAAGTGAATTTCCATTATGTTGTAGGCTACAAACCACTCATATTGGTGTAAAAGATGTATACTGTATAGGGGAAATCCTGAGATGGTAGCATGGGTGTTTTATTTACATTTTTAGATGTATGTTTTTTCTTAAAACCTTTCCTCCAGCTTTATCCTTCAAGTCTACCACCAGTCTAGAGCAGGGGTTCTCAAACATTTTGGTGCCAGGGACCCCTTTCAGGGGAAAAAAAATTCCAAGGACCCCCCTCATATTTATAACAGTTAGTGAGCACAAAGTTAATGTGTGAGCGGCAAATGAAATATTTTTGCACAAAATGAATGGTCTCCACCCAGGGTACTATGCAGGAATTTCTAAATAGCCTACTGAGGTAACGAAAGTGATCTTGCTAGGAATCACTTAGGATCCCTCACTTAGGAATTTTTGATGTTCTTGATCTACACATGTGCATTTTAAGGTGTTTTAAGGCCCCACAATTGGATAACTATAGATTTAGTAGAAGCATGTCAGTCAGTGGCATACATTTTTTTTTTTGTCAAGATGTCACGAAACACAATCACATATTCCAATCAGGAATGGCCTTAAAAGAGAAATGTTTCAATAATTAGGCCTATTCTGCACACAAATAAAGCCCATAAGCCTATAAATACAATGATAATGGCATTATGTTTAATAGGTGCGTGCGTTGTTAATTTGAGCTACTGTAATTAGCTAAAAAAAACATACAGTATATGTTAAATATATGAATCCATAATGTTAATCTCATGGGCACAGTATGTTTCTATTGACCTGCTTTTTCCTTTGTTAAAGTTGAGCTTGATTAATACTTTGCAAACTGATTGTTTCAGTCGTTTTTTAAAACTTTTATCTAAAACAGCTGTTTAGTTTATGTTAATTAAGGCCTACATCTTATCTCGCACTTTATGACCGTTGACTGAAACGTCGTGCGAGGAACTTTGAGTTCACTCCGACTCAAACATTTTGACATTGACGAGCTATCGTTGTTAGTCTGCTGAAGCACCTCAGACGAGAAGGTCAGTATCATCGCGATGTGCATCCTTGCAACCTCAGTTGTGGGTACGGCCCTGTCACTATGCACTTTTATTTTGATAATGATCAGACTTCTAATGTCAAATCTACAGTAGTGCTAGAACTGACTATTGTGCGCGCACGCGAGACGCCGGCGCGCAATTACATGGGAATTTTTCCTCAGCAGTGGAAACAGGAATACTCTTATTTATGGTCATAGATAAGACAAGAGTGCATCATCCGAAACGGTAAAGTGTCCATTTTTTTATTTGTGTATAGGCTACATTATAAATGACTACAAAATGTCATGCCTTTTAAAAATACAGAAAAGAACCGGATGCGGGTTCATGCCGTCTCTCTGTCTCCTTTCTGGCGCACGTCCCGCAAAATCAACAGCAGCGAATAGTCTACTTGACGCAAAGACATAGATTATCTATCTATAGAAAACTTTAAGTGTCTATGTATTGTTTTATGTTAAATGCTTTATATAAGTTACTTAGGAATAAACAGCATGTTTTCAGATGATAAAGAAAACATGACTCATGGAAAAAAAACGTTAGGTTGTAAATTATTTCGCGGACCCCCTGGCTTTAGCTCGGACCCCACTTTGAGAACCACTGGTCTAGAGTATTGTTCTCTTTATTTTCTATTCAGCATAATCAACAAAATAAAACTCATTGCAATGCATTACCAAAATAGTAAATAAATCAATGATTCGGTTGAATTTTTAGCCAAAATATTTGTTTATTTCATCAGAATAAACTGCTCCTTGAAGACATTATGTAACCATGGTTCCCTGAGTAGGGGAACGAGACACTGCGTCTTCTATCATGCATGAAAAAATAGAGAATCATGATAAAAAAAAGAGAACTACCGTAGCTTCCTACAAATGCATGTCTTTTAACATACAGTTCATATAAAATACATAAGGTTATCATGCATATTCTTATTTAGGCTATGTGAACGTCACATTAACGCTATATGTTTCATGTATGCTCACAATAAAAGCAATAAATATTTGTCATTTTGAGCCTGTAATGCACAAATTCAAAACATTTACTAAAAGTGTCATTGTGCATTTTTACTTTTGAGGCAGATTTTACAACAACATACAAGCACCAAAACATTTAAATCAACCTATCAAGACCATGTTATATGAATACATAGATGAACAGAAGTTAAAATACTGGTCACAGGCCTCTGTTCAAGTAAAAGAGGTAGGTCTGTATAGCTTTTGTAAATACATGCTGTAGGCCTACTAAAACATTCAAGAGAAACATTTTACATTTCTAGTTCTATTGGGTTTCAAATCACCTCTAGAAATAACATGACACAGAACTAGATCATTTAAGTGGCAGTACTACCAAGATAAAGTATAGTGATTAGCTAATTCATAATCACAGAATTCATGATACATATGGTAATGTCATGGTACTTTGCGATACATTTACTGTTTTCGAGTACTGTTAAGTATATCTTACCTTATCCTGCAGCACAGAGTCATTTACAGTACAAACACCACATACAGGCGGTGATCAACAGTAAAGTCTTCGCTGACAGAACATAAGAAACATTTGAAGATGTGGATTCGTCGGATCGTAGGTAAATATCCACCTTATCCACTGAGGATTTTCCCAGCTAACAGGGAACGTTCCCAGAACATTCACTAACGTTCTTTAAAAGTTGTGTAAATGTTAGGACAAAACGTTATTAAAATATTGTTTTCGGAACGTTCATTTAACGTTATTAACGTTCTTGTAACGTTGAGAGAAAATGTTCTTAGAACAACGTTCTTGGAACGTCTTTATCACGTTATTTGTATTTGATGAACGTTCTCATTACGTTGATAAAAAACGTTCTTAGAACAACGTTATCGCAACGTCTTTATCACGTTATTTGTGTTTGATAAACGTTCTCATAACGTTCCAGCAACATTATGCTAACCTTAGGATAACGTTCTAACAACATTATGCTAACGTTCTCAGAACCTAACTTTGTTAGCTGGGTTATTCTCACTGTTGTTCCAAAGGATTAAAGCATTTGAACCATTTTGAGTGAGTACATTAAAATGAACTGCTGAACTTAGACATTCACGAAATGGAGTTTGTGGCAGGACTGACAGGACTGGAAAATGCAACACAGTCTCATGAAGATGCGTATCTATACCACGAGTGTCATTTCTCGTGGCATTTATACGGCAAAAGTGTTTTTTTCGTGTATATGGTACGCACTAAAAAACCCTGGGTTAGGTTTGGGGGGAGGGGGGTGGGGAGTTCATGCGTATTATACGCAAAAAAGTGCGTATCATATGTACGCGAAAATCACGTGCCATATACACGCAAAAACTGTTTTTGGCGTATAAATGCCACGAGAAATTACATTCGTGCCATAGATACGAACTTTCATGAGATCGGGCTGGAAAATAGTGTCTTTTATATTCGCCTTGACGAATTTGATTATTTTTTTAGTTATTTTTGTTATGTATTGTGCATGTTATTTTATTATAGTACAGCTTTTTTAATGTTTTAATTTGTTTCTAGTTTCTGTTTAAATTTTTTTTTCAAGTTTTAGTATTTTTGATTGTCAATTTATTCGTTTTTCTTTTTGTAATGTCTGTATAGCTTTATGCAGCCTAATTGATTCAAAATTAGTTTTTTTTATTAAAAATAAAATACATTTTATTCAAAATAAAATCGATTTTTCATATTTTATTTCAAGGAACAGAAATACTTTTTAATGGTTGTATAGCGATATGTCTAAATAAAAATAGTTCAAATATTTATGATTCAAATGAATTATAAAATGTCTTCATGCAAGGACTTTTATTTGACAATCAGACTTGCTGCTCATACAGAGCGTTCCATATGTCTTCATTTGAGAGAAAATTCGCCCTACAAGGCTGCTCCCTAAATAAAGCAACACACGTTTTTCTCATTTCCTGATGTGCTCAGGTAGATGAAGGAGGCATGCGCACACGTCAGTGACAGGACCAGGGATCTTTCCCATGCTGTCCCATCTCTGAGTCACAGGGTCATAGCGGTCAGTGCGTCTCGCCTCTGTATAGTCCTCCCGGCAATAACCCCCGAGAATATACAGCCGCTCCTCCAGGACAGCAGAGGCCGCGCCGACGTGGGGAACGGGGAGAGGAGTGAACACCGTCCAGGTGTCGTGTACCGGGTCGTACATCTCGCAGACCAGCTGGTTGGTGTAGTACGTATTAAGGTTGCAGACCCCGCCAGCCACATAGAAATGGTTCCTCATGCTCTCCATGCAGTGCTGGGCCCGGTCGTGGGTCATGTCAGCGAGGTATGTGGTTCCTCTCACCGGGTGGTAGAGGAACATCGACAGCAGGCATTGGTACTTGCAGTTGAAGCCTCCAGAGATGAAGATTTCACCTCCCCAGACGGCGGCAGCGTGACCGCTTAAGGCTTGGTCCAAAGGATGGGTGAAGCTGTTCCACAGAACAGAAAAGGCAATTGACTCATTTGTGCCTATGTTTTATTTACCCCAATTAATTGTAATAGAGAAAAGCCTGAGACAAAGCTGAAAATAAGCAATGACATTTGACTTTGGACTGGAAAATCAAATGATTGTCCAAAGATTCTCCATATGTTGTGCTCCTGAGAGCCACTAGGTGTCAGTCAGTTCATTCATTATGTGCATAAATTTTTATTTTCACAATAACAGTTAATCATTACTAATCTTGATTTAGCTTGCTCTTTTATCCTGTTTTTAGTTGTTCTCCTACCTCCAGGAATCTGTTTCCAGTGAGTATTTTTCCACGCTGTCGAGATTTGTGTGGATGT